CCATCGCCACCTACTGAGGCCTGCAAGCATCTGAAAGCCATGATTGTGGATGGGAAGGTTTGTACGGCATGATACAAAGCACTAGCAGTCCCTAGCAAGGATTAGCAAGGGTTACGCTGACATTGGCAGCTGTTCTACTGTCTGACACACGTCTACAATCGTCTACATAGTATTCCAGATATTCCAGTTGCTGAGAACATGCGAGTTTTGCTGCAGTCTTGTCAAATTGGCCTGTTGTTCGCTCCTGTGCCAGGTGCTTTGATACTGAGAAATACATTCGGAAGCAGTAGAGCTTTCAGAGTCGAAGCGAATGTTCTGAAAACGTGGAGACGCATGTGTCACTCCACTCACTGAGTGTGGTTTGTACTGTCCTAACAGCACGAAATGCTCCTCGCTTCGAGGTCTGGTTGAGTTTGGTGACATGTATAGCTTCAAAGAAAAGAGACATATATTTGAACGAATGTCTATTTAAGCTGCGGGAAAAGTGAGGTTTGCATCTGGCCGAGATGGATCCATTTTTGACACGGCATCACAGATCACGGCCCTGGAAGAAATCTGAACACTTTTAGAAATGGTTTTATTCAGCTTTTCTCCTACACATGATCAGTCCAGAGGGCAACAGAGGTTGGGCGTGCTTGTGGTAGGCAAGTCTATTTGGATCAAAATGATTCAAAATGGATAGTAAATCTATATATATATATATACATCTACGAAACTTTGAGGCATCCAGCAACGATTCCTGCGGTTTTGGCACCTAGCAGCAGTTTTCACACCTTCCGATGTGTCTTGAGGCAACAGGTGGTCAGCACCATCAAGAAGGCCATGCAACGCGAATCCAGGAAGAATTGGGAGGCAGAGACATACTTGATCATACTTGGGATATCTTGAGATTTCAAAGGATTATTTATGTTGCCTAGGAGAATTCACTTGAGGTTGATTCTTTGACAAAAACAGCTTCCTTCGTCCAACGCATATCGAAGCATATCAGCATATCCAGCAGGCAGAACAAGTGCAAGCGGACAATGTCAAGAAGCTTCAGCAGCGGAGCATCTCAGAGTCGGCGGAGATGGGAGTGAACATGAAGGAAGGAAGACAGAACGCATGGGTTTGTTTTAACATATGGAACCCTTAAAAATCCATCCTGATCCGATAGTTATCGATAGTTCATGATCATTCTCCCAATTAAACATGGCAATTTTGGGGAACAGATACCCCATTTTCAGACGCAGCTCGGAGACGAAATGTGCTGCCTCTGTGCCAAGGCTTCCGCTCAATGCAAAGCAGAAGGAGCAGTCGGCCACTGAGTTGTGGAACCGTTCCAACAGGCTTCGCTCAGGTCACACCTGACATCACTTGATTATAATATATATATATATTATATATATACATACAAATATATATATATACACATTACACATCTCTATATACATTAAACATATTATATTTATTTATATTATATTATAATAATGAAGAACGAATTGATATAACTTATCCAAAGCACTCCGACTCCAGTACAAGGTCGTGCATCAGCACAAAGCCAACGATTTGCCTCAACTGACTCATGGGGCCAAAACTCTTTGAACATGTTTGGATTGTCCAAGGATATCCAAGCCATTTATTCTGCAGAGGAGTTTTCTGCGAGTCGCTTCGAGTCGCTTCGAGGCTCATTTTCTCCAAGTATTCCTTCGAAGACCTGCTGAAGATGCACGGTGAGAACATTGGAATCACAGCTCGGCTACTCAGGGTGGAATTTGTGGAATGGCTGGAATGGGTACTTTCAATATCTTTCAATGAGGCCACTGGGAATGGTGGCTGAAAAGGCTCCTTTTTACAATTCATATTATGAAAAATGCATTGAGAAGAAACAAATGGTTCTAGTATCATCCAACATCAAATTTGGGTCATGTAGAAATTGAAAGCGACAGGTGATGAATTCAATTTATTCTGGTGCTCTGAAAGGATTGCCTGTTAGCAATCCTGAAATGAAAAACAAAAACAAGAACATGTCTGACATTGTCAGTGATACTGATATATTATGTTTAGAATGGTGACCCTCATGGCATAGTCGGCGTCGTCACATGAACACAAAGCTGCAAATGAAGCATTGTAACAAGGGACAACGGAGCCATGGAATCCTTTGCGAATCTAGAGATGTCGAGAACCAGATTCCAGTCATTCCAGTCATTCCTGGCTTCGTTTCCAGGTGGAGACTCAGCAGTTCTGGATGGAGGTGCCGTGACTCTTGACCCATTGACTTGGTCCTTGTGTACAGAGTCTACAGTAATTGTAGCCTGACAATGACGTAAGAAGCATGGCGGAAGTTGGAGTGCGCATGCAGTCAGGCAGTCCCTGCCTTGTGAAAGGCAATTTAAGTCATTTTCTCGATTCAGAATGATTCAAACAGGTTTGCAAAAACATATGCAACAGGCCATTGAATGATAGGATTCGACCCATAAGACCCTCATTTCTTTGAGCAGATCTGGCTTTTAGGTTCTACATCAGATTGTTTGGGCAATGGCGCCAAAGACATTACGTTGCATGGAAACTGTAGAAAAGATTAGAAAAGTAAGGAAGGTGTTACATAGTGAATTAATTTCTAATCAAACTATGAAAATTTATGAAATATAATTAATCAGTGGAAACATGTAAGTAGTGGCCCCAAATTCCCGAGGTCCCATCCTTATTTCAGCAGGCTCTTTGGGCATGTCAATTCCAAGCTGGCCCTGCGTTGGATCGGCTCTCGGCTAGTTGGGTGGCCCAGTCAAGGTCCATAGGATGACAAGCATCGCAGGTTCAGAGGCAGTCCCAATCCCAATTCTGTGCTTAATTCTGTTCAAGAGTTATGAAGCGCGGCTTTTGAAGCGAAATCGACTTGCCAAGAGTCTTGGAAAAAAACAAAGGGGGATCAGCGATGGTTCGGGAGTGACAATAGCTCCAATACTCGCACCTTGACGGTGACACCGGCGTGTGGAAAGGTGTCTTGACCTTCCTGTCGGATGCTGAAAAGCGCAGGCGGGATTTCATGGGCAACATCGGACTGTGTCAACAGTGAATGTCGAGTCAAAGCCAGAAACAAACTCTTGGAGGACATCAGTTGCTACACACTTCACAGGTCTTCACAGGTCTTCACAGGTCTTCACAGGTCTTCACAGGTCTTCACAGGTCTTCACAGGTCTTCACAGGTCTTCACAGGTCTTCACAGGTCTTCACAGGTCTTCACAGGTCTTCACAGGTCTTCAGAGCTAAGCACTACTGAGCGATCCCTCCGCCAGGGGACCTGGCCATGTTCAGCCACTGCGTTTGGCATGGCGTTGAGCTCGGTTTCACATTGCTTTGGACATACGAATCCTGGGTGGTTGATTTCGGATTTTGCTCCACAAAAGTGACGGCGTTGGTTATCTAAATGATAGCCCCAGTTAAAGCAACCAGGGTCTATAAATCCAGGGTTGACTGCACTATTTGTTGCTTCTTGCAGCTCTTGCATTACACTTTCCAGTAGTGATTGCTTTGGATGCATGGCTGCCTTCAATTTGCAACATTCCGTGGAGATCAGTGCGAGGGATTTCTATGAACTTCTGTCAGTGCTGTCTTCACTTGCTGAGGCTAGACCTGTGTTTGGCCTGTTGTTCGGTGTCCGAGAAGCTCTCCAGACCGAGCTTCAAGGTGCACCGGTGTCACGCCGATGTCACACGATAACAGAGCTCCGCCGATCAAACTGCACAGCAACTGTTGTCACTCACAGCTGCAACTGCTGCAACTGCCGCAGGTTTATGCCTCTGAGGACCTCCTTGCTGTGGAGTGTGACACATGGTGACACATTGACATGATCATGACTACTCACACGACATATATCATGAAAGAATCTAGAATCTATACGTGTTGAAAGGGTCAATGAGAATATATAGTTATAGTTATATAGACACATAATGTAGATGTCATGAGTCATATACACTGAGTCAATTAAGTCTCTGTCCTGCAGTTCAGCTCATCAACATGTTCTGGAGATTTCTGGAGGACAGCGTGGCTGATGGGCTCCCGGAGGGAAGCGACTCTGAAAATGTGGACCGGGGATGGGATGGGATGAGCAGGGATGCCTTATGAATCTTATGAATAATTGATATAATTGTGATATCAAGTGACGGACGGAGATAACCAGAAAGGTATGAACGTGTGCAATGGTGACCTGCTTCTGCCTTGAATGCCTTGAATGCCTTGAATGCCTTGCAAACCCAACAGATTTCTTTTTATGCCAGAGCTTCAGGACCGACAGAAAAGGCGGGCTTCACAACTGAGCTCGAGAACACAACTGAGCTCGAGAACGTTCCCCTCAATGGATTCGATTGATGCGCAGAGAAAGCACATCACGGCACTCTGAGTTTTATGCAATTTTTATGCCTTTGGACTATGTAAAACTTATCCTACTAGCGCCATGGCTTCGCGCATTTTCGCGCATTCAGACGTAGGCTATAGATGGCTGCAGGCCATGTCCACCTACATCGATCTCTTCAGAGACATATCGTGCGTTGCAAGAAACAGGCACAACTCAGAGGCCGCATCAGCACCGAAGATGCATGGCAGCATGGCGTGTGCAGGAGTTGCACTACGTCTATGTCCCCAAAGGGGATATGCATTTAATGTATTTGAACCAGCCACACTGCGAGTGCTTGCCCAAGGCACGCTTTTTCCAGGCGCACACTTACTTGGGGAATCTTGGGGCTTGGTTGAACCGGCAAAAACTGCAACATGCTGTATTATCCTGTCCCTGCAGCCATGCATGAGCGAGTCAGATTAGTTTCAGATACCGGTTTCTGTGGTCTGACAGGTTGCTGGACTCTGCAGACACATCCAACAATTCATCAGGGCATCTGGCTTTTTTTTGGCTTCCGGAATATCACCAGCCAGCCCGATTCGGCTCCAACTTGTCAATGTATCTGATTTGTTTCTCATTCGCGAGTTGGCCCAAGGGGTTCATTTACGAAGAAGAGAGAACCAAGGCAACTCAAGGAAAGCCCACAAGGTGCATTTTAAATGCTACTAAGCGGTGAATCTCTCACAAGGCAGGCTGTCTCAGTCTGATGAGAAGAGAATATGTGATTCACTTCACCCAGAGAGATTGGGAGCATCAAACCATCATCAGAATCCAAGGAGATAATTCAGAATGAGGGGTTGATTTTCTGGAAATCATTGGAAATCATGTTTGATATATTTTGATATCCAGTTTCATTGACCAATCGACCATGTCCATCAAATTCCGAGAAGAGCCATGTGGAGAGTCGTGGGACTCAGCACCTGTTTGGGCAGCGAGACGAAAGGTGCTGTATTTACGCGGTCTGCCTGCCAGTTGAGTCACAATTCCAGGTCATTCCTCAAACATTTTTCCTTTTTCCGTCCTTTTTCCTCAGAGTTTCCTGGACCTTGGCAGCCTTGGCAGTTTCTTTCTGAAACATTTCCCAGGCTGGAGCTCAAAGCAGGAGGTCTTCAGGTCTTGCGGAAGGCACACAAGCCTGGAACCTAGGGGGACCTAGTGGGACCCAGTGCATACCCTGGAACCTAGGGGGACCTAGTGGACCCAGCGCATAGCGATTCTGCCTGCTTGATCCTGCTTGGATCTTAGGCCAGGAATTCCCCACAAAGATGAGCCCAAGGTGCACTTTGGGAGGGTCTTCTGTAGTTTTCGAAGTTTTGGGGTTTCTGGGCCAAAATGGTTTGGATCTAGCTGGCCAGCAAACGATGGTTGTTGAGCCTAGCGGAATTAAGAACAGAGTATAGCAGAGACAAAGAAGCAGGGAAAAGCCGAAAAGCGAAACGCAGAAAAACAGAGAAGCAGAGAAACATTGAAAAGCAGAGAAGCAAAGAAGCATTGAACAGCTGAAAAGCAGAGAAGTGGGGAAACAGACATCCGACCAACAATCTCAAAACGGAAAAACATACATAAACATACTGTAATTATCTGTAATTCACCAAAAATAGGCATCCCTCCTGTATATAATACAACTGATATGTACGTCTAACATCAGTGTCCCACACAATATTGCATCAATGATGGAAGACAAGGACCAACAACTTGATGGTGCTGTGTTTTTTGTGCAGATGGCCTTCTCTGCTGAGCCACTACGAAGCCTTGCCGGACGTGGGTGCTTGGACCAAGCTGGGGGTTTTGGCAGAGGCGTATATCCCAAAATGGCTGTTGAATCGTAGGGAAAGTATGGGAAACACATGATGATCTTTTTGTATTTTTTACGATGATTTAGGCTTCCTCTAATTTTGGATAATCCCCAACGGCCCTGCGGCCATATTTGAGACCCAGGCACCACGTATTCTGGCAATTTTGGATGGTAAATGGTAGATAATCTATTATCTTAAATCAATTGATTTGTTGGGTACCCAATTTTGAGCCATAGCCACATGCCTCAAATGTCTGTGGGTCAGAAAATATCCACCAAACTGGCTAGATGAACATCGTTGGAGCATCCCAAGGTGTGGTGAGATTTCGTATTTTTGCTGCTGCTACACAATAATCGATGAACACAGAATCTAGAACGCAGTTCAAGCACACTTGCTACACCTGTGACATGCCTGCAGCTGCTTGGACACTATGTAGGTGCTGGTTTGAGATGCGAGTAGATGCTCTGGCTGGTGGGGAGATGCCAGAGGCCCAGGTCGTCAGTTTTGCGTTGAGTCTTTTGCCCATTTTTGTGGACTTGTGTTTGCGGCAGGGCTAAAGCTCAACAGCCCAAGAATGTATAGGAAAACATCCCAAAATCATCGTTATACAGTTATACATATATGATTATATGTATATATATATACGTATATATATATATATATATATATTTATATTTATATTTACATATTTCACACGGTCTCACAAGCACAGGGCCAGCTGCAGCGCAGGCCCGTGTGTCCAACAGATTACACCTGATCATCCTGATCAGGATTCGGTTAGACACAGTAAAGCACAACTCAAAGAAGGCAGTCGTCAGAGGTTGCCTGCGGCCGACTTCCTCGCATCTACTGGAAAACATTATATAACGGCTGGCAGGGCCAACGCAGGCCACAAACAAATTCACACAAGCCATGGGGAGGTTGTTTCCGCCGGGCAAATCACAAGGAAAATAACCTAATGCAGGAAAACGGCAGCCGGTTGCCGCCTCAAGGCTCAAGTGTTGCAGACCCTTAGCTCACCCAAACGGTATATGCATTTGTCTGTTGGCACCTGATGATGCTGGTGCGAAATCAACCCAGTTTGCCTCCTGACTCCTTCCTGTCCAGCGCACGCAGCAGCAACTGCAAATGGCTAAGCCAATCAAAGTTACCCAATCTGATTGGAGCAGACACAAGTCACAAGCGCAATGACATTCATGCAAAGGCAAACTGCACATGCCCCTCCACTGATGCAGCGCCCCATCACAGTCAGGGACGAAACAGAAGCATGGCTTCCCATAGTCTTGTCCTCCAAATTGGTCACCCAAAACAATGTGTGACAAATGTAAGCCACATGATCATGATCGAAATGGCTAGCAGGCAGTGCGATGATAAGGACCATTGAATGCAAATGGTGTCCATGCCGGGCATCTGCCAAAGTAGAGATCTGTCAGTTGTCACAGCCATCATCTCAACCAAGAAAGGCCATACATCCACAAGCAACTTGTTGCTGAGCCAATTCAGAATGAAGCAAGGCACGATCCAATGAGACAAAGCAACATGGTGAATCAATTCACGAGCATCTGCTGTCACGGTGTACCACTGGTAGGACTTGGGCCAACACTATCTATCTATCTATCTATCTAGCTAGCTAGCTAGCTAGCTAGCTAGTATCTAGGGTGCTTACTTGTTTGTTTTCGCCGCGGTTATTTTGACCCTCAGCCAGGTGCCCCATGGGCCTTGGCTTCACAGCCACTGACCCCGGGACGCTCAAGGGCACCGAAGAGGAACCGATAAAACTTCCTGGAAGTGCAGCGAACCTTCCGAAGTCCTACGTGCCTTGGCATAAGGGAGGGCAAAACTAGAGAAACATTTGAACTGTTGCTGTACCTGTCAACTTGTCAATACCGGTGTCAAGATCTCCGCCCACTGCGACTGTAACATGTCTTTTCGTGATTCTCCAGACCCTCAAGGTGTGTGGCTACCTGCGCTCTATGTATTGGAATGGCGAACAAATCGAGGCAACATTGGTCAGAAAACAGCGACAGCAGGAGGAAAGGATAGAATACAAGTAGGGTGACCGTTTGCTGCCAGTGGATTTTGTTCATTCCCCTGCATCTTCTGCTCTGGGTAAAGGGATGACGCTTCGATTGAGAACAGGAGCGTCAGACAAAGTTCATCAAATTTCTTCTGTTCAGGTGGACAACGTCTTTGGCAAACTGAAACCTGCCAAAACTTTCACAATTGGGGCAGTCCTGCCACGTTTTAACCTGCAGATAGCTGCCTGGAGCTGACTCAGCTTGTTGGGTACTGACTCATTGCGCGCTGGACCGTCGGGCAGCCCTGGTGCCGCCAAGCGTCCGACCTTGAAAGACTTGACGAAATTTGATGTTTTGCGGCTGGTTCGAATCTCCGGCAAGAAAGGGGGGTTGCATACGCTCTTGCCCTGCTACCACAGCATTTGGTGCCGGAATCACGGAGTAGTAATGTAGTAATGATACGTAATGATTCCTATGGGATGGCCATCAGATTGTGAAGTGGGTTACGCTGTCTTCAATTGCTGTGTTGGCCAGGCCCTGGCAACAGTTACAGGGGGACTGGACACTTCGGCGGCACATGAAAAGTTGAGTCGTCGTCATTTTTTGTATGAGCTAAGACTGTAACATCTGTAGCACGATCCCCAGCCAATACGCGGGCTAGTCAGTTCAAATCTCATCATCTAGTTCATAATTATTCAAATGTTGATGAGACTATTCATTCTTGTTGGCAAGCCTCTACCCCCCACGACAAGCGTATTGCGCAGACAATTCAAACATATTCAAACCATTTCAAACCGGTGAATTTCAGCTGCTTTGTCATGGTCAAGGAACTCTTCATCAACCGCCGGCTGGTTCTCTCATATTCACCAGAGGAGCCTCAGAAACGGAATGTTTCGGTTTATAATTTCTGATCAGCAGTCTGTATATAGTCCAGCATGACTTGAGATCAATAGCAAAATCATGCAAAGGCATGAACGAATCACTTTGCAGAAGGGCTTTGACATGCTTTGACGATGAAACTGAAGAAACCATTAGGAACCACAAGAAACCATACCTCTTGCTTTCTTTGTCAGATCATGTCAGATCCTACCGCACATGGAGGACCTTTTGAATCGCATTGACTTGGAGCAGCCTCTTTGGGCGGTGCTCGACTGTGCTGGTGGCCTCAAGAAGGCGGCAACAGATGAAGAAATGATGAGATAATATAGCAATTCCATGGAATTATAATGCGTTATATGATAGTATACACATGTTTCAAACTGTTTCACTATATTAAAGTTATCTTTAATTATCGGTTCATCCCTGTTCTGTATTGAACATATTCAGCAGATGAAACTTTGATTTCTTCGCGCGCAGGGCTGCCTGATTCCTGATTCGCTGCCTCCGACTCCAGAAGAGGCCAGCGCACCTGAGGACAGGAATGCAGCATCGATGACTTCACTCGTTTTTATATCAGATTTTGACGGCGTGATATACAAGTAGAGCCCGGGCAAGCCGGGTGACGGAAGTTTCGAGAGAGGGAAGAACCTATAAAGACAAGGAAGAGCCTATAAGGAACAGCGCCTGACCCCCTGGCTGGCACGGCCGTCGAATGCGTGATCTCTTGGAAGTCTTTGTCTGTCACGTTTCTTGCTCTCGACATCTTTGTCTGATGCTGCCACTGTCTCTTGATCTGGCTTGCTCCTGACATTTCTGAATCTTGACAGAGTTCTGACTTCCCGACATCTTTGAATCTTGACAATCTTTCCTGTTGCCTTCTGTTTGTCTGGACGTCTTTCTCCCCAACATTTCAATCTCTTGACTTCCTTGTCTGGCACTGTCTTTTGATCTGGCTTGCACCTGTCATCTTTGAATCTTGACAGCGTCTTTCTTGTTGAGAGCTCTCTTCAGTTCCCTACTCTTTTCAGTTCCTGACACACCCTGCTGTCTCCCTGTTGTTTCCTACAATCTCTTCACTTCTCAACTGTCTTCAACTATCTACTCTTCATCGCATCTCTACTGTCTTCAACTTTCTAATGTCTTGAGAGCCCTCTTGTCTGTTCATTGTGTGTGTGTGTGTTTCAGTGTGCAGCCCCTCCCCCCTGCACATGGTGGCACCCGACGATTTACGATGTCCAGCTGCAAAAACCTATAGTATTACGCACGCAGCTGCGGCACCAAGCAAGCAGTTCCAAACACCACCTGTACACCGCAGTTCCACTGTGATCTGCCATCACTACTTCGCAAATCACACTACAACTGCGTCGACCACCGCAGCAATCAACAACAGATGCAGCCACTACAATGCGATCTGCACCCCTGAATTCAACTTTACCAAGAGGACGCGTTTGAGCGCAAACGCGCGAAGGCCGCACCCACGAGGTTCCCAAAATCGACGCCGGGAGCCACTTTGTGCGAGAAAACATAGGGTCTCGTTCGATTCCGAACGCCCAAACATCACCTTGACACAGCAGTTCCACTGCGATTTACAATGATTAATGATTGCCTTGCAAATCACGCTACAACTGCGTCGGCCAAGGCGGCAAGCAATCCACAACAATCTATTACCTACTCCTGCTCCTACTACTACTACTGCTGCTACTACTACTACTACTGCTACTAAATCTCTCCGCATTTTTATTGTCCGTATGACGGAGTTTATCCTGCTAAACTTCCTTTGATAAAGTATTTGTTATATAATTTATATAGATAGACTGTTGTGGGTCTGAGATAATCTATTCTGTTGTTGTCTTTTTGATAATATAATCTCACCATATCTCAACCAAACTCAGCAGCGGTAGTTTGCTGTGGCGCAGGATGATGAAGCGACACCTGATCAGCCCGAAGGTGCTGAGGCAGGGCGATGAAGTCCGCACAAACATTTTTGATGGATTCTATGACCGGGTGAATGTTTGCTTTTGTTTTTTTGAACATAACCTGGAATAAGTTCAGTGGCTGGTTGTGTCTGACCAACAGTTTCGCAGAGCGGATGCTTTTGTTTCTCAGGCTGCTGGGTTCATTCAGGATAGTTCAGCTTCATTCATTTTGCATTCTTCGACCCTGTCTGCTTTTTGCGAGTAGACATTTCAATGCATTTCAGGAGGGTGAAGAGACGGCTGAAGGAGAGCCTTCCGAGGGCTGAGGCCGTAAGTGCCTTGCTTGGAACAGGGAAGGATGAAATAGGCTATGATGGCGATGGAATTCGATGGAATTGAATTAGTACATCAAATCGTTTTGTTACATAGTACATTCACTCGCATTCTCAATCCGAGGAATATAAGAACCAACTTTGGCGTAGAAGTAAACTGTCGTGGTTGATTTATTGACAGTGCAACGATTTCCGTGCAAATAAACACCCCGCAGTTCGCTTGTTGGCTCCATTTGATTGTTCCTGGGTGACGGCCATCCAGGGAGCATGAGCCAGCATATCCTGGTAACTGGTGGAAACACGGGCATCGGCCTTGCATTGTGCAAGCAGCTGACTTATGACTATGGCTGTCATGTTTACTTGTGCTCCAGATCATTAGAGAAGGGAACAGCAGCTGTGAAGAGCATTGTGGATGGTAAACCGGCATCCTGCAAGGGCCAATGTGAAGTCGTGCAGTTGGACACCTCCTCAGATGAATCGGTGGTGTCTGCAGTGGCGGATGTGAAAGCTCGCTTGGCAGAGGGCGCGCAGCTCTATGCCATCGTGAACAATGCAGGAACCGGACTTGGCCATGGTGCGACCCCGGATGTGGTGATGAACACCAACCTCTTTGGACCGAAACGAGTCATTGAGGGCTTCATGCCTTTGCTTAGCAAGTCTGGCCGCATTGTGAATGTCGGCTCCGGTGCCGGCCCGATGTATGTTGCCAGGTGCTCCTCAGACGTGAAGAAGATGCTTTGCAACCCAGATATCTCTTGGGAGCAGATCGCAGAACATGCCAAGTCAGGACTGGGCTCTTCAGCGGACGGCATGGGTGGCTACGGCTTGTCGAAAGCCTTGTTGAGCTGCTACACCATGCTGCTGGCCAAGCAGCATCCTGAGCTCTTGATAAGCTGCTTGAGTCCGGGATTCATTGAGACGAGTATGACCAAGGGCATGGGAGCTTCCAAGTCGCCTGAAGAGGGGACGGTGTCAATTAGACATTGCCTCTTTGAAAAGCTGGATGGAAACGGATGGTTTTATGGATCCGATGCACTGAGATCTCCTTTGCATTTCTTGAGAAACCCCGGTGAACCTCCTTACAAGGGAGAACCGGTGGAATAAGTGATGTAGTTAGGATGTGGGAATTGTAGGGATGTGGGACATAGTCAGACATAGGTTTTGGACACTTTTCGCCTGAAGGCCACCTGAATGAAGGCTTATGGGACGAAAAAATCGAGGATCATTTCAGCCAGTTTTCACTTCCGCATCTTTTGCTCGGCCAGTTGGGAGAGGTTTTGCCACGAACATCTTTGAGTTGCAACTAGGGAACGTTTTACAAAATTGTGGCCTTGAGTCAGGCCCCTTGGGGGTGATACTGGCCCTAGCATATGAATCTTAAGAAAACAGATCCTGTGCCGGGGACACAGGACTAAACATAATTGACCCCAAAGTTTCTTGAAGACAGCTGAATCTGTGATTGGGATGAATTCAGTGTAGAGAAGAGATCAGAAGACACGAGAAGACTACACGGAGTCTGCTTGGGCGTCGGGATTCTGGCGCGTGAAGCCTCAGGAGTCCACAAACCAACTTGTGTTTCCGGAAGTGCTTTTCTAGACCCTAGGGCCCTAGGATTTGCTGGCTCCCTTGGCCTCAATTTCCCATCTTCGCTGGCAACACAATCCCGAATTGTCCTGGCAGGCTGTTGCCAGCTTCTCGGTGAGACTTGAAACCAGCCCTGCTTCGAACGCCTTGCCCAAAGTGGGAAGGCCGGGTTCACGCTTGGGTACAGCAGATTCCACAGATTCCAGAAACTGGAATCTAGCTAACTCTTTGTTTTCCATGCCCAGTCAGCATGTTGTCCATCTTTTTTTGGGGTGCTGACAGGTGTTTGTTTCACCATGTCTCACCGTTTGAAGCAGCAGTTTCAGAAGATTGAAAATGGCAGAAGACCTGTTAAGTTGAAAGGGCAACAATGTTTGGATTCTTGTTGGCTCATTCTGCCAATCAGACAGGCACCGGCTCTTGCCAATATCACACCCTGAGCACATTTGAGCACTTTGTTTCATGAAACCAGTTTTGCTCAAGCTCTGTTGTGCCGACCTGGCAAAGCCATACCGGCAAGGGCTTGAATTTAGACCCGAGTTTCTCGCATGTCCAAGCAGAGCGAAGCAGCCGCATCAACTTTCACAAAACAGCCAAGAATCACAGAGATCAGCAGGGAAATCTTTTGACCCCTTGGCAGCATGAGATAATTTCGGTTTTGTCATACACCATCCACAGTGCTTGTGTAATTTAGACTTCAGAGTGAGAAAGCCTTGACTTACTTTCCTCCCAAGCTGATTGATCATGGCTACCAATGGCCGGTCCTGGCAGGCAGGATCAGTTGCTTGGTTTGTACTTCCAAGCCCCTTTGAGCATAGTCATAGTTGAATTTCTGACTTTCTGGCTGTGTCAGGCAAAGCCGCGTGACAGACGTGCAGGTACGATGTGCATCAGCATGCAACATCTGATGTTAAGCTCGACTTGATATTTGAATATGTTTGAAATACGCTCGAAGTCTACGTCAGGAGAGATGATTCACCACTCAGCGTCAGCGCCGTGTATCAGTCGAAGTCGTATCTCGACTCAACTGGTTTCAAATTTGATGGGAAGCCAAAGCTTGTGGCATATGCAACCGAGCTTCCTTTGAGGGGAAGCTCAATGCGGTCTGGTTTTTTCAATGGTTTTGCGGTGGGTCGAAGTGCAATAGAAGCCAAAGGGCTTTGGTGCAGTATGCATCAACACCATCAGTAAATACGCTGAGAAGGAGGATACCTATATATATATATACACACACACACCATTTTTTAAATGCTTTCATGTAGAGTAAACCATGACCATGCCCACCATTTAAATTTGTGGACACATGAACCAATTGTTTGACGGACACAAGTTTGAAGAACTGGCACTGCACAGTACATCACAGTACTGTATATAGTATATATTTGGCCATTCAAACCAATGACATTCTCAAATTTCCTGGACATCTCTTGATGTTGCGTCCTTTTGCTTCACTCGATGGCTTCGCCTCAAATGGTCTTAATTCAAACCTATAGAATGGGTCTCTCTGAGTTTCCAACTTGAAGAAAGACACACCTTTGCCCAACATCATCAAGCCTGCTATATGTCTCAGTTTCATGTTTCGCAGTACCAACAAATATCAAAACTATAAAACTGTCCGAGCGCTTTGGAAATCTACAAAGTGGATTATAGGCTGGCCAGCTTGCCCATCATATTGGAAGCCGGGCAACATCTTGGGATGGAACTTGTGAAGTCAGCTGAGGCTCATCTTCCAATCTCTCATGGGCCACGCCTTCTGTTGCCAGCAAGCTTTCAAGCAGCATTTCAGGCAAGGCCAGCAGGGCCAGCAGGGTTGCTGATTGGCCATGGTTTTTTCACTGAATTTTGACAATGCCTTGGCTCTTGACTAACTACTTGACGACTTCACTGTGATCCTTGGGAAGGTGCTTCGGCCATTTCTCGAAGCCAGCCTGAGCCATCAGGTGAGGGTCCTGCCAAGAGTGGAGCTGAAAGCTGTTGGCCCTAGGCATTCCATGCCACACTATGCCACCGTCGGCCACACCTTTTTCATCTTTTTGATTCTTTTTACGCGAATGTGCCCTCATAGGCCTGTTGCTGCGATGCGACTCTGCTCCACAGGGTCCTCCAGGGGGTCTTCGAGGCGGGCCTGCTTTCTACTTGGTTTTGTTCTTGTGTTATCTTGCGTTCTTGTGGGTTCGACATTGCGGATATAGTGTTTGAATGTGATGTGTTTGCATTGACCTGTGGCCAATCTACATAGTCCTGCTGTCAGAATAAGCTTTTGCCTGGAAGGTAGAGAGGCTTGGGCTGAAGATCTCAGTCCAACGCATCACATTGGCATGGCTGAAAGGCAGGGTGACGATGCTGTTGGTGAGACCCCAAAAACGCTGAGCGAAGGAGTGTGATTTGGAGTATTTATGAAGACACATTCTCTTGACTGAGCTTGCAGATATTGTATTTAGCGGACCTCCCAAGAGCTTTCCCAAAAGCTTTCCCAAGAGCTTTCTACACCTTTTTTTCCACCCTCCTCTGCTCTGCAGGCCTGGACCTGGTTACGACTTTACCAGCACAGGCGGGCTGCTTTCCCCAAATAAATACAAGACGTGCGAAGCAAACTGGCTCACCGATCCATGGCACTGAAGGTTTGTCAGCATTGCGTCTACCTACACAAGCTGCTGAATCACATGCTCCAGCCTCAGAGGTAAGTGCCCACAGCGACAACGAGTCCATGCCATGCAATGGCCATTGTGCAACAAAGGTGGCTGACTTTGCCAGAAGCTGCGCGTTGAAAGGAAGGTGCGGCGATGCAGCCACGGGGCCTTTAGCATCTCACCGAGTCTTACAATAGCTTCCTGTTGCAGGCAAAACACCTCACGCTTCCAGCGCAAGACAATGCCGTCAAGAGCAGAGCCACTTGGTATTTGATAGCATCACAATCTGGCAAAAGAGAGCTCAAGGTTCAAAGCGACACTGCTGAGCAAGAATATAGCCTCAGCTGGACACAGGGCAGCCTGACCGGCATGTACGAGACGTGACTAGCAAGAAGCCTGTCTGCCCAAATTCAGGCGCACTCAACGTGAGAATCAATTGCTGGCTTTGTACAAGCAGAGCAACCCAGATGCGTCGGGCACTCGTGCTTCGCGTTTGAATGACATTCTTGTGGTGCAAAATGCTGGCCCTTGGCCAACGCTCCGAGTTTTGCTTCTACCTTCTTTGCAGTTTGGCCTTCCCGAGGGTGACGTCTGTGTCAGCGAAGCAGTGTATGCAATGGCAGGACATGCTTTGGTTTGGGCTGGAAATCACAACACCATGGATTTGACAATGCCATACAATGTGAATGCCTGTTGAATCAGCTGGATCATTTTAGCAGCCGCCTCTCTTGTTCTTGGGATTAGTTTTTGGCATCATTAGATGTGACTCTTCGGAATTGTTCCAACTTCCACAAGGGTGCTACCTCAACTCCCCGTAGGAGCTCTTTTCAGCACCACAAACTGCCAAATACTATGCGTTGCTTGGAGCATCGGTGCTGAAATTCACTCGGCAAGCTGTGCTTCCATGAGTCTTCGTTTCTTCGTTTTCTAGTTCTAGTGTCAAGATTTGTGATGATCAAGTGATCAAGAACAAAAAAGTCAAACATCCACTTGCAGCTTTTTCTGTTGACGTCATGTTTGGTTTTTCCCCCGCTTTTTCTGATCGTTCTGAGACAGCTCGGGTCCCTCCATGCTGTGGCCCTGAGGCTGCACCAAAGAGAGGTCGCGCGATTCCTGAGAAGCGCTGAACAGAGAAGTCCGCTCAAAAAGAGACCCAATTCGTGATGTCAGCCTTTGTCCTCGCCAAGCTGTAGACTACACCGCAATCCAGACATAGACTTCGCCACTCACATGCTGGGGTTACCAGAATCTGAAAGACTTGGTTGTTGGTGTTTGATCCCACTGAATAGTATAAATTCAGGTGGTGGGTGACTTTGGATGCCATGGAAGAAAGTCAAGATGAATCTGTGTGACCCTGCATGAATGTGCCCAACATTTTGCTGCAGAGGCGCTTGTAATTTGGCACAAAGATTGCTACTGAGCTTGCGGTCGGACATGTTTGGAGGGTGTAGCTGACCCTGGCTGAACCGCCCAGGATCCGATGAGTTAGCTTCTTTTTGCTTTTTATGCGAAGAGGACGTTTCCACTGTGCCATCCAATGGATTGGCTTCGTGTGCACTAGTAGATTAGGAGTTAGTAGTCTTTTTGCCGAAAAAAGTTTCCACCTAGACGTGCGTGTCAGTTTGTTGGCCCTTCTGGTGTTGCGCATGTCGCAATACATGCTTTTTCTTGAGACTGGCGAGAATCTGATACAGCAACGCCAGAAGATGCAATTGCCGCTGCATTTAGATGAATATGGAAGTTGTAAGGTGTGACTTTGTAAACGTTTAGTCAGGTGTACTTTGATAATCGTGCCCTACAAAGCAAGCAAAAATGGCAGAGATCCACCTCACTCGAACTTCAACACACATTTAGGTTGCATCATGTTGCATCATGCTTGCTGCCAATGATTGCTGGGACACGTCTCGAGCCATGACCCTCCAATCTGGGTGAAAAGGCAGGACTCTGCTGTCTTGGTGCCTCCGAAGTGTGCCCAGATAAATCCGAGTTTGCTCCCATGTCTTGGTGTTCAATTTTAAGCCCGGATGTGCTACAAACTTTGTTCGCTTGACCTGTGCTTTGCGCTCCATAGGCTGGCTGCCGGCTGGCATATCCAACTAAATAGCCCTTGGAAAATTTGACAGGCATATTCCTGCCAGCCATGTCTAACCATCAAGAAAAGATGTGAAGGGTTCTTGATTACCTACGAGACCTCTACGCAGGCAAGCAAAGGACCTGCCCTATGTCAAATGATGGTTCGTTGGCCAGGTGGGCGTTTCACCTTTGGCGTTTTGAAATGATATCTGACGCATTTCGAAAGTGCCGGCAGACCATAAGCGCTAGACAATAATATGTGAAACCACCCATGTCATTCAGACTGTAATGGCCGCTTTACAAGTCCTTGAAAATGGTTGGGCCCTTCAGGCCTGAGACTGAGGGCCGTCGGCCCCACTTTGCTTGGTAGGGCACCCATCTCACAAACGGTCGCAGCTAGTTGAGAATGGACTGCTCAGAGGGAACCCTTGAAGATCTTTAGTCTTTGCCATCCGTTTTTGGTGGAAATTCCCTGATGGCTATTTAGCTTTGAGCTGGCTCGGCATCCCCAATTCCCCAATCAGAAGTTGGGCTTACAACCAAACCACTGAAGTGTTCAGCCTGGCAAGAATCGTTGAGGTGGCGCCGACTGCGCCAGGCCGGAAATAGCACTGCTGAGTGAGATGACCCTGAGAATTCAACACAACCTTTCATGCCCGAACTGACCACAAGAACATACAAACAAGCGACCATTAGGCGCATTAGGTATACAAATACTACAGAGAGGACACAAAGCACTGACAGAACACATGAACTATGGCGACATAGCGACATAGCAATTACTTCTTCATCTTATTCATATATATATATTTATTCAATTGCCTTCGGCAAGCCCGCCGGCCATAGAGAGGTGGCCCCAAGGGAGTTTGATGTGCATTCTAGGTGGAAACCCGCGAGAGAGCAGAAGAGAAAAGAAGGAGGAGGAGGAAGAAGAAGAAGAAGAAGAAGAAAAAGAAGAAGAAGAAGAAGAAGAAAGAGAAGAAGAAGAAGAAGAAGAAGAAGAAGAAGAAAAAGAAGAAGAAGAAGAAGAAGAAGAATAAGGAGAAGACGAAGAAGAAGAAGAAGAAGAAGAAAAATAAGAAAAAGAAGAAGAATAAGAATAAGAAGAATAAGAAGAAGAAGAAAAAGAAGAAGAATAAGAATAATAATAATAAGAAGAGGAAGAAGAAAAAAGGAAAACGAAGACAAAGCCGTAAAACGGAAGCGGCTTGTGTAGCAAGGTTTGTTGTAACAACCTATTGACCGTATACCAAATTAGTACCGCCCACAGCACAGTAGCGCCAGGTACTGTACTATGTATGAGGCTCTGGCTTGACAGCAGACCGCTGCATGGAAGGAGACGGGGTGGAAGCAGAGAGAGATTGCCCCAAGGGAGGTTGACCTGCACGGTAGGTGGAAGCCTGAGAGAAGAAGAGACGAAGACAGAGCCGTAGATCAGAAGCAGCTTGAGTAGCAAGTGCGTGCTTGAACAACCAATATGGAACGCATACCCAATGAGTACTGGTTGATCAGTGCCGTGTGCGTCCTGTGACGAGCACCTGTAGACGACGGTAATGCTGCAGGCGGTGTCATTAGCTACCGGACTACCAGTGTAGTATTTTGGGAAGAAGGGAGGAAGGAGTAGAGGAGTAGAGGGGCCTAGTAGGCGTCCGAGTAGGCGTAGGCGTAGGCGTGGGCGTAGGCGTGGGCGTAGGCGTGGGCCTGGGCGTAGGCGTAGGCGTAGGCAGCAGCAGTAATAGTAGCGGCAGTAGTAATAGTGGTGGCAGGAGGAGGAGGAGTAGGAGGAGTAGGAGGAGTAGGAGGAGGAGGAGTAGTATATAGTAGTAGTAGTATTATTATTATTATCAGTAGTAGTAGTAGTAGTAGCAGTAGTAGCAGTAGTAGTAGTAGTAGTATTAGTAGTAGTAGTAGTCAGTAGTAGTAGTAGTATTAGTAGTAGTAGTAGTAGTCGTGGTGGTAGTAGTAGTAGTAGTAGTCGTGGTGGTAGTAGTAGTAGTAGTATGAAGCAAAAACGCGCAGCAAGAGAACAGAGGAACAAGTACAAACCAAGAACAGAAACAAGAACAACACCTTCCGAGCTCTGCGATGCAGGCAGCGCCCTGGGAGACGGAGAGGCATGTGGAGTGTTTCTTTCCTTTCACTGTGTGTGGGCACCTCCATTTCCTTGCAGCACAGACAGACATGACATGAACTGTATTTGTTTGCTTTCAAAGTGCTTTTGCTGTTCTTGGTCACGGTGAGTTCTGCGCGGCTGCCTGTGGTGAAACGCAATGCCTCCCCACATTTGAAGTGGGCCAAAAAGGCCGGAGATGCCAAAATGAAGGTCATAGTCATGGTGAACAAAATGAACGCTTTCATTTTTTTTGGTGCTTTTGTCACTGCTTGGCCACTGCCCGTGGTCGCGAAGAGCAGGTTCACACTCAGCAGAAGGCATGGCTACTAAATCACCGCTCGGCAGCCAGTGAGGGTGAGGACAACGAGGAATGATACGATGTTCTTTGGAAGAAGGATGGATGGAAAGATGTGTGGTCCTGTTTGGCTCAAACTCAAGCCAATCAAAGCCTGATAGGAAAACACACACCTGGTATTAGCAGCGCTTTTGCAGCCATGGCAGAGACGTTTGCCTTCAATGCTGACATCCAACAGTTGATGAGTCCTATCCCTAGTTGATCCTAGTTGTGTCGGCGGGTGTCTTGCGGGATTTGCAACGACTTTTACTGTAGTCATGTCATGTATGTTCCAAGACAATCTGCCCAAACAGTGTGTCCAGACGATGGGGTTCTTGGACAATGGGGTCTTGCGGTATTTGCCACAGGCCTGGTTTGATTGAGGATTCGCATCGGCGGCAGTAGTTTTGCGTCGGCAGTCTCGCACAAGAGTTCCCCTGGGATATCGATGTTCGTTTTGACCGCGCAGGCTCGTGCAAAGGTGTGATAACACTTGGCTTTCACCAGAAGGTCTACTTCCACCTGCGCGCCGTGTCCGTTGTTGGAGTTATCGTACGTTTTTCGTGGCAGGCGCAGGAGATTTCGCACTTCTGGAGGGTTAGAGCCTCGTTTTGTGCGGCAGGCGCAGGGTATATTGCATGCCTCAGGCTCATGATTCCTCGCAGGCGCAGTGCTTCAGAGACTTCGACCAAAAAAGCGTACTCAAAACGGAGGTTGCTTCGAGGCATGCGCAGTGCTCGATGAAATTTTAGCATGTGCGCGCACAATGCTTTCATCGCTTGGTGCGTGTTGGATCGCTCTCATTGAGGCTCGGTGCTGATTTTGATATCGTGTTTTGCGCATGTCGGATCGTTTTTGTTGTGGCGCTGTGCTCATGCATATCGTTTGCGCAACCCTCGCGTCACTTGGAATGGGCATTTCCCGGGATTGCTCTCGTTATTGCCTGGTGCTCATTTGATATTAAGCGCGCGCCCAACGTGCAGGCCGGATTTCTCTCGTTGCGGGGCGGCGCTGATGGAATCTGACAGAGATCCTGAAAGAGAGGTCCTTAGAAGGATCCTGGTGAGTTCCCCTCAGCAGGATCCTTGTGCAGAGATCTTGCAGTGCAGGGCCCTTGTGCAAAGATCCCGAGTAAGTTTTAAGAATTGATCCTTTGTACAGAGATCTTGTGGGCACATTAGGACAATCTTTGCGCAGAATCCTAGGGTTGCTTCAAAAGGAATCCTTTGTACAGAGATTGTGCGGTTTCCTTGACAGGATTCGAGAGCAGATAAAAATGTGAGTTTTTTTTAAAGGATCCATGCGGAAAGATCCGCGAGTTCCCGCAAGTGCCCAATAGCAGTTTTGAAACCCTTAAAGACCGACTTGGAGGCCTACTTGGCTTGGGATTGGCTCCCGTAGAACCACAGGATCCTGTACAAATTGAAGTGGGGCATCTTAAAAAGCCAAAAAGCGGAGCTGATTGTTGCGTGCTTTTACACCGCCCCCCAAGCAGTCCCGATGCGAATGTCATTCAGGGTACTTGCTGGAGGTAGGGGCCCAAGTAGCGCATCGGTATACCATGACGGACGCATCCTGCTATTTATTTGATCGCTATCATTGCGGCTTGGCTCCCTCATGCGGAATCCTCTGAGGCCTTATTATCAACACATTCTACTCGAACAAGGAGATCTTTTTGCGAGAGTTGATCTCCAACGCCTCAGATGCCTTGGACAAGATCCGTTATGAGTCCATCACGGATCCTGACAAGATTGAAAGCCAGCCGAACTTTTTTATCAAGATAATCCCCGACAAGACGAACTCCACCTTGACCATCGAAGATTCTGGCATTGGCATGACCAAGAACGAGCTGATCAACAACCTCGGCACCATTGCAAAGTCAGGAACCAAGGCGTTCATGGAGGCAACTTGGCAGTGATCTGCAGACAGGGATGGTGTCTTCAACATCAGAACTCTAATGTTCACTTTCTATGTTCTTTTTCTCTATGACTCTATGTTCTATGTTCATGCAGGCGATGGCTGCCGGAGGTGACATCAGCATGATTGGTCAGTTTGGCGTCGGCTTCTACAGCGCCTACCTGGTCTCGGACAAGGTTCGAGTGATCAGCAAACACAATGACGATGAACAGTACATCTGGGAGAGTGGTGCTGGTGGGTCTTTCACAGTCCAGGAGGACACTGAGCTTGTCCACGGTGAGATCAAACGTGGCACGAAGATCATCTGCTATCTCAAGGAGGACCAGTCCGAGTTCCTTGAGGAGCGCCGGTTGAAGGATTTGGTCAAGAAGCACTCAGAGTTCATTGGCTTCCCCATTGAGCTCTATGTGGAGAAGAGCAAGGAGAAGGAGGTCACCGACAGTGAGGATGAGGGAGAGGCAGAAGAGAAAAAGGAAGAAGGTGATGAGCCAAAGATCGAGGAGGTGGACGAGGAGAAAGAGAAGGAAGAGAAGAAGAAAAAAACAAAGAAGGCCACAGGGTACTGTTACTGTTTAACTGCAGAAAAGGATGGTTTATAGCAAAAAAGGACGGTTAATAGGGACAGCTTGTTTTGGTTTTCGGCTGCGGCTGAAGGTCAAGGAAGTGTCCCATGAATGGGAGCAACTGAACAAGAACAAGCCGCTGTGGATGCGCAAGTCCGAGGACGGTTTGGCATTGTCTTTTAAGCTCGGCTGTGTTTTTAAGTTTGGCGTTGTCTTTCCATAGTTTGGCGTTGTTTTTTGGCCAATGTCTGTGAAAGAGGCTGCCTGCCTGAGGATGTGACTAACGAAGAATACGCAAGCTTCTACAAGTCCTTGTCCAACGATTGGGAGGACCACCTTGCTGTGAAGCATTTCAGCGTGGAAGGCCAGCTGGAGTTCAGGGCCCTGCTCTTTGTGCCTCGCAGGGCGCCCTTCGACCTCTTCGAGACTAAGAAGAAACGCAACAACATCAAACTTTACGTTCGTCGCGTGTTCATCATGGACGACTGCGAGGAGCTGATGCCCGAATGGCTGAACTTCGTGAAGGGTGTGGTGGATTCCGAGGATTTGCCTCTGAACATCTCCCGTGAGACCTTGCAGCAGAACAAGATCCTGCGAGTGATCAAGAAGAATCTCGTGAAGAAGTGCTTGGAGATGTTCGCTGAGATTGCAGAGAAGAAGGACAGAGTTCCAAAGTTTTGCCCAACCAAATTAAATATATGATGCGTCTGAACCCGTGTTTCAAGTTTCACAGCAATATTTTTGCCACAAACAAAATATCTTGAGAGGAATTATATAAAGGGCCGGATCACCCCATATGTCAACTTTTTCCAATAAGCACCAAGAATGTGAACATGTGATGGGAAAGGCAGGAAATAAAAAGGATATGGTGGAAGACAGATGGTGTGAAAGAGATGTGTGTGTGTGTGACGGAAATGTGTGTGGAAGTTTGTGTGTGTCAAAGTTTTGTGCGTGAAAGATGTGACAAAGTTGCCTGCGAAAGGTTGTGTGTGAAACAGTTGTGTGCACCAGACTTGTGTGTGAAAGAGTTGTGCGTAAAAAGGGTTGTGTGTGTGTGACAATGTTGTGGGTGAAAGAGTTGTGTGTGTGTGATAAAGTTCTGTGTGAATGAGTGGTGTATGACAAAGTTGTGTGTGAAAGAGTTGTGTGTGGCAATGTTGTGTGTGAAAGAGCTCTGTGTGTAAGAATTGTGCGCGCGTGTGTGGATGGAAGGGTTGTGTTTGAAAGACTTGTATGTGAAAGAGTTGTGTGTGACAATGTTGTGTGTGGAAGACTGTCTGAAAGAGTTGTGTGTGAAAGAGTTATATGTGACAATGTTGTGAATGAAAGAGTTGTGTGTGAAAGAGTTGTGTGTGTGTGAAAACGTTGCGTGTAAAAAGTTGTGTGTGTGAAAGACTGAAAGAGTTGTGTGTGAAAGAGTTGTATGTGACAAAGTTGTGTGGGACAAAGTTGTGTGTGTGTGTGTGGCAAGTCTGTATAGACGTAAAACTTCATATAATATATAATATTCTAACGCGGGGGGTCACCGGGGTCCCGGGGGGGTCGGTGACCAATGAAGACACCTCCCCGGGACCCGTGTAAACGTACCCGCAGGACTTCGGTGGTGCACCTGGGCGCATTTAAGTCGCAGCTGGTGGCCACCGTAGTCCTATATATATATATATACATACCAGACGATTCCTTGTGACCTTGTTTGTGTTTTCTGCTAAGTGGCCTTTAGAAAGAGGTCAGTTAAGGAAAGCGTAGAAAGAGGTCACTTAAGGAAACGAACCAAACAGTGGCCTACCAGTGACACGCAAGTGACACGCAGGTGACACGCAGACAGCCAATCCTTAAGTGACCTTTTCAAGGCTTAAGTGACCTTTTCAGGGTCCTAAGTGACCTCGTTTCATCCCACCTCGAAACCCCAGTGACACGCAAGTGACACGCAGAAATCATGAGATCAGCCAGGCAAAGAGGTCACTTAAGGATTCATGAAACGAGGTCACTTATGCATGATTGATCTTGTAAGTGACCGTTTGGCACTTTGGGTCTAAGTGGCTTCCATTAGAGGGCAGAAGTAACTGCCTGGTATATATATATATATATGTATATGTATTCATCCTTATATAAGTAACTAATCTAGTTGCATGTTACAGGACTCAGTTCCTGACGGATCTTTTCAAAGATCCATTCTTGTCTAGTGTGATTCCTATGGTGACTCCGACAAGGTGCCATAGGGCCAATTGAGGCAACCCCTTTGTGGGTGACTGTGGACAGACTTGACTTCCGAACTCACACATTTTAATCTGGTAATTCATCCAAGTAAAGTGCAACAGCTGGCCATACTGTTTTGTGCCTTTTACGAAGTCCCGTGGTCCCAGGGATTCCTCGCCGATGCATTTCTTCAACTGTGAAGCCGTGCCGAACAATCAGAAACTCCATTGAGCACGCAGGAGGCGTTTTTTTTGAAAATCTGTTTTAACTCCGTTTTTCCTGCAGCTTCAGCTTTTGAAAAAATGGTCACAACAGCAAGGCAGGTTCATGCTTTCCAGGTATGGTGACACTCTTTCTTTTGATGGTTGTCTGGTGAGGTCAAACATGTTGTGCACCTAATTCGTTGGAATTTGAACAGCTGTTAAATGCCTTCGGGCGCGACCTGACCACGTTCCCGGAGGGGAGTAACGCACGACCATTAGGAATTTTGGGACTGAGTCCTTTCAGACTTGTTTTCTTTCTTTCACCAACTAGTCTCCCATTGGTCCCCTATTTCATGCGTTCTTCCCTCCCCAGGTAGGTCGGGTCCGTCGCGTGCTGAGGTTTGTGTAGGTTTCCGCTGTGTCAGGTTGGTTCAGGTACTTCCGTCTTCCCCCCCCTCCCCTGGTCTTGTTCCGTGTCCTTCGACCCTCCGCTTTTCTCTTGCCTTGCCCTTTCAGGGTTTGCCCGCTTCGGGCCAGGTGTGTTGGTGTGTGTTCTCTCTTTCTTCTTTTGCGTTCCCCTCTTCGCGTTCTGGTCAAGTAATCTTTCATTTCATTTCCATGCTCATCTCACCTTCATTCCCCCCTCATCCTCATCTTCACCTCATCTTTCTTGGCACCACCCTGCCAAAGGCAGGGGGTGTGTGTGTGTGGCACGTCTGTATTGACGTAAAACTTCATATAATATATAATATTCTAACGCGGGGGGTCACCGGGGTCCCGGGGGGGTCGGTGACCAATGAAGACACCTCCCCGGGACCCGTGTAAACGTACCCGCAGGACTTCGGTGGTGCACCTGGGCGCATTTAAGTCGCAGCTGGTGGCCACCGTAGTCCTATATATATATGTATGTATTCATCCTTATATAAGTAACTAATCTAGTTGCATGTTACAGGACTCAGTTCCTGACGGATCTTTTCAAAGATCCATTCTTGTCTAGTGTGTAAGGTTGCGTGTGAAAGAGTTGTGTGTGCGTGCGCGCGCGGGTGTGAAAGAGTTGTGTCTGACACAGGTGTGTGAAAGTGATGTGTGTGTTCAAATGTGCAGTTCCAGTTTGCGTGTGAAAGAGTTATTTGGGAAAGAGTTGTGCATAAAGGTGTTGTGTGTGAAAGAGTTGTGTGTAAAAAAGAGATGTGTAAAAAAGTTTTGTAAGAGTGTGAAAAAAGTTGTGTGTGAAACAGCTGCGTGTGAAAGACTTGTATGACAATGTTGTGTGTGAAAGAGTTGCGTGTGGAAGAGTTGTGTGTGACAAGTTGTGCGTGAAAGAGTTGTGTCTTAAAGAGTTGCGTGTGACTAAGTCGTGCGTGATAGAGTTGTGTGTGTGACAAAGAGGAGGCGAGGAGGAGAAGGAGCGGACGGGAGTGCACAACAGAAAGGCAAGAACCCCACACAAAGATGGGGAAAAAATCAATCCATGGTTTGAAGTAGAGCAGTGAAGAAGTAGACGGCAGAAGAGCACAGATGTGAAGGGTAGAGTAATTAGAGAGTGAAGAGAGCGCAGAAGCGAAAAGAGTAGAGAAATGAAGAGTGTAGAGACGCGAAGAGAGTCGAGAAGTAAGGGGGTAAAGGCAAAGGGTAGAAAAGTGAAGAGTAGGGAAGGGCAAATAAGGGAAGTGAAGAGAGTAGGGAAGAGAAGTGAAGAGAGTAGAGAAGTAGAGGGTAGAGAAATGGAGCCTAGGGAAGTGAAGAGTACGGCAGTGAAGATGGTAGAGAAGTGAAGTGCAGAGACTGCAGAAGTTAAGGGTATAGACATGTAGAAATAATAGGGAAGTGAAAAAAGTATGCAAGGGAAGTGCATAGATTAGAGAACGCGGCCATTGCGAAGTGAAAGCAGGGAAGTCAAAAAAATTGGGAATTGAAGTGAAGAGAGTTGAGACGTGAAGAGTAGAGGAGTGAAGAGAGACATAAAGAGTAGAGAAGTGAAGGGAGTCGAAAAGTAAAGGGTAGAGAAGTGCAGTGTAGGGAAGAGTGAGGACATGAAGTAAGTAGGAAAGTGAATTGAAGGGAGTGCAGAAGTGAAGAGTAGAGGAAGGGAGAGTAGGAAAGGAGAAACCAAGGGGTTATGGAAGTGAAGAGAGTGGATAAATTAAGGGTAGAGTAGTGAAGAGGAGAGAGATGAAGAGCAGAGAGGGAAAGAGCAAAGCAGATGTGAACGAGGTGCGGAAAGTGCAAAGAATAGAGAAGTGAAAAGAGCAGAGACGTGAAGAGTAGAGAAGGGAAGAGAGCAGGTAGAGAAGAGAAAAGAGCAGAGAAGTGAAAGCTTTAGAGAAGGGAAGAGAGCAGAGAAGTGAAGAGAGTAGAGAAGGGAGAGAAGAGAAGGGATAGTAGAGTAATGAAAACAGTTGAGAAGAGACGGGGCTAGAGAAGTGAAAACAGGAGAGACTTTAAGGTGATAGGACAGGAGTAAAAAAAATGGTTGCTCGTGTCTTCTTAAGGTACTCGTGAGAGGTCGCAGATTTGTTGCGGATCCTCGAGTATCCGTGGTTGTTTGTGTTTTCCAAGGGTCTCAATGCAAACTGTGTTTTTGAATGTAATGTTTTTGAAGTATCCGAACTGCTTTGTTTGCGTTTGTAAGATGATAATTTTTAAAATTAGAGGTTGCATGCAACACTGTTTTTTCATTTGATGTGGCCAATGCGTTGATGAACGTAAATTTTGCAATAATTTGGCGCGGACGTTTCGTGTGAGTATAAAGGTGCGTAATTATAATATCCGTATTTGATTTGAAAATGTGGGCTGATGTTCCCTTGCACATGTTTTTTTTTGGGTGTCCGTGTATGGGGTGTTCGCTATTTCGCAGAGTTGTTGTGAATCCGCAAATGTCTGGTTTTTGCGCTTGTAGTGTTCGAATTGGTTTGCATTTGTGAGACGATACGCAGTTTTCTGAAGGCTGGAAACTGTGCGAAAAAATGTGTTTTCTAATGGTATAAATACATAGAACATTATAGAACTATATAGATATAGATATTATATGATGCTATTTGCATCCGCGCTTCGATGAAAGTATACTTTGCAATGGGGCAGGTGGGCGTTTCTTGCAAGTATCAGTATCCATGCACTTTGATTTGAAAATGTTGGTTAATGCTCCTTGCATGCTGATTTTCGATAGCCGCTAGCCACCATGCTTGCCGGTTTTTGGTTTGGTTTTGGGGCCGCATCTGCAACCCGGAAGGACGACTACAAAAAATTTTACGAAGCATTCGGGAAGTGCCTGAAACTTGGTGTGCATGAGGACAGCACCAACCGCACCAAGATTGCGGAACTCCTTCGCTTCCACACCTCCAAATCTGGCGACGAGCAGATCAGCCTCAAGGAGTATGTGGACCGCATGAAGGAAGGACAAAATGACATCTTCTACATCACGGGCGAGAGCGTTGCTGCAGTGTCTTCCTCACCATTTTTAGAGACACTCCGCAAAAAGGGAATCGAAGTCCTGTACATGGTTGCTTGCCAAGTACTTATATGATTGAACTTTTATATAATCATTTTCCGAGTCATTTGATTGAACGCCGATGATGCCAGATGATGTTGGTAGCTTTCTAACTATCTCATGGCATTCGCTCAAGTTTGCATCTTCACCCAGCAACACCGGGGTCGGATCAATGAGCAAATGGGTGCATGATTGGATCGTTGGCACTGTCTTTTGGCCAGTGTCAAGTGCAAAGTTTCGTCGTTTTTTTGAGGTTGATCCGATTGACGAGTACGCAACGCAGCAGCTCAAGGAGTTCGATGGGAAGAAACTCAAGAGCACCACCAAGGAAGGTCTTGACATTGATGATGAGGATGAAAAGAAGAAAATCGAGGAATTGAAAGCAGAGTTTGAACCATTGACCAAACTCATGAAGGAGGTGCTTGGGTTGGGCATGTTGGAAGGTGTTTTGAACTTATGCTGTTTTGAAACACACAGAAATGACTCGATGACGATATTTATGCATGAATCACATGATGGGTTTTCAGGTAGAGGGCCGTAGTTGGTTTTGACAGCAAACTGCGTCCTCATTGCTCGGTTCTGCCGCCAAGCACAGAAAACCAATTTCAGTGCGGCTGTTTGTTGATGATCTTTGTTTCGCCTCGTCGGTTCTATTCTGGATTCTGTGGAAACTAGGTGCTTGGCGACAAGGTGGAGAAGGTCCTTGTGAGCTCTCGCATGGCAGACTCTCCTTGTGTGTTGACCACCTCTGAGTACGGTTGGTCTGCCAATATGGAGCGCATCATGAAAGCCCAAGCCCTTCGTGACAATTCCATGACTTCCTACATGGTTTCGAAAAAGACCATGGAAGTCAACCCAAAGCACTCCATCATGGTTGAGCTGAAGAAGAAGGCAGCGGCAGACAAATCGGACAAGACCGTGAAGGATTTGATTTGGCTGCTCTTCGACACGTCTCTTCTCACATCCGGCTTCAATCTGGATGAGCCCACCCAATTCGCTGGCCGTATCCACCGCATGACCCTCACCAAAATACACCTAAGTTTTTGTTGCTCTATCAGTCCCCCCAAAAACCAAAGAGCCAAAAGAGTAGTGTTTCAACACGCAACTGCTGACACTGTTGTGTCTATAGGTGATGTAAGCAACACATCACGATAAGTCACGATTTTTAGCACTTCCCCTTCCAAGTCTTGGACCACCACATACCAGCCCCTCCAGGATCAAGCTTGGCCTGAGCATTGATGATGATGACGAAGGACTTGGAGATGATGACGACCTGCCTCCACTTGAGGAAGTGGAAGGGGCTGCTGATGAGGCCTCCAAGATGGAGGAGGTTGATTAGGAGCAGAGTCGCCAGGTATGAATTCGCATTAGGCTGTGGGCATTTTGTGATCATGAATTCGGTCGGCGTCCATCACTGTGTGTGCAACATGGGATGCCCGAAGAAACCGATACATACCTTCCGTCCAGTGCAGGGACAAAAATCTTGGGATGGCCACGTTGGAATCTTCTGCATCTCCAGTGCTATTCAGTATTACATAAGTCTGTCAAGATCTGTTAAGATTTGCTACGTGGTCAAGGAAGAGACTCTGATCATCCGTTTGGATAGCACACCAAGGTCAGTTGTGCAAGCCCTTGCCCAAGGTGAAAGCAGCCCTGGCTGATAAAGGCTCTGACAATCCAGCACACCATGCTCCAGCCTACAGGGGGTTTCATAGTTTCTGCCAGGCAACGAAAGCACCACAGGCTTCACGAACTGCGGCATGGAACTTACACTTGCGGCTAGTCTTCTGACACAAGGCTTCAAGGACTTCAGGCTTGTCAGTTTTGTTTGGTACTTGTTGGTTGACCTTGTTGGACTGTTTGATGATGTCTTGACTTCAGTCAGGTGAGTGCTTTGGGGTGCCGCTCTATGGCAGCGTGTTCCGTTGGGCTTGCATCCCAGCTGCCAGTGTAAAGAATCAGATGTTTTCATGCATCAAAAAGAAGTGTTGCCAGGTTTGAGAACAAGTGCTTTTTGAAGCTTTGGGACATGTGTGACGACCCATGGCCTCAATCCATGCCATCTCAAAATATTTTTAGGATGTTGATGCAGAAAACAGCTACTGAGGGCCGTGATTCTCTGGTGACACCTCATGCATCGCCCGTCATGTGTCCAAAGCCGGGAGGCAACCGGTCTCCGGGTGGACCGGCAAGAGATTGTGGCCACCGAAGCAGAGGACTGGAACTAGTAGATGTTGTGATTTGGTAGTAACTCAGTATATGAACGGATAGGAACGGCTGGATACCGTAGGAGTTTGGTCCACCTTTGTGTAAAAAGGCAAAGCTCTTCATCTCTTTGCAAGACACTTTGACGGGAGGGCGACGCCACTTCCTCAACTGACTGGTCAAATGAGTGGTGATACTCAATCGACTCAAGGCCTTTCTACCTGAACTACACTGGAGGGGCCAGCTACTACTGTGTTTTGTTGACGGCGCCTGTCAGGCGACCGCGCTGTTGTTAATTTCGTCATGTGGGTTGCTACGACCTCTTTCTTGTCTTGCCTCTTGGATGGTTGGGGTTGTGCCCGTCAGTTAGAAGTTGTTCGTTAGAAGTTGTGCCCGTCAGTTATATATAAGCTGTCATCGAATGACCATATGATTTTTTAGGGGGTGGAGAAAATGGGGTGGGGCGGCGCACCATGACGCTGTAAGACATTCTCTTATATTTGCGTACACGCTTGATGCTACGCTGTAAGATCTTCTCTTGCACTTGCACTCACGCTTGATGCTACGCTGTAAGATTTTCTCTGGCGCTTGCACATAGCTTGATGCTACGCTGTAAGATCTTCTCTTGCACTTGCACTCACGCTTGATGCTACGCTGTAAGATTTTCTGTTGCGCTTGCACATAGCTTGATGCTACGCTGTAAGATCTTCTCTTGCGCTTGCACGCACGCTTGATGCTATGCTATTCTGTAAGATCTTCTCTTGCAATTGCATACGCGCTTGATGCTATGCTGTAAGATCTTCTCTTGCACTTGTACACACGCTTGATGCTAAGCTGTAAGATCTTCTCTTGCGTTTGCACATGCACTTCATGCTGCATTGTAAGATCTTCTCTTACGCTTGCACGCACGCTTGATGCTATGCTGCAAGATATTCCCTTGCACTTGCACACACGCTTGATGCTATGCTGTAAGATCTTCTCTTGCACTTGCGCACACGCTTGATGCTACGCTGTAAGATTTTCTCTTGCACTTGCACACATGCTTGATGCTACGCTGTAAGATCTTCTCTTGCGCATGCACATAGCTTGATGCTATGCTTTAAGATCTTCTCTTGCACTTGTATACGCGCTGGATGCTATGCTGCAATATTTTCTCTTGCACTTGTACACATGCTTGATGCTACGAGGTAAGATTTTCTCTTGCACTTGCACACATGCTTGATGCTACGCTGTAAGATCTTCTTTGGTCTTGTTGTAGTCCTGTTGACTGTTTACGATGAAACGCATGTCATGTGTTTTTTGTGGAACTTTGGTTTCGGCTCCGCTGCTGCATTTGTGTCGGGTTTGCAGGATAGCAAGAAACACACTTGTGAAATCAGGTAACATTTCACAGTATATATATACATATGTATGTATGTATGTATGTATGTATGTATGTATGTTGCAATGATATACCTTGCTCATTCACGCACCAACATTTAAAATTTCAAATACGTAGTTCAAGGTTGTCATCAGGTGTGTTCCTTGAAGTCATGATAACCATGTTGTATCAACTTTTCTAACGCTATTTTTTTTTCTGTGGATTCGAAATGTTTGAGCCTCTTGGCCGAGAGCGCACACCGATTCGCGCGTCTGGCAGCGCATTGGTTTCTTGAAGCAGTATTGGCGTGATTTAGCTTCGTTTTTGCTTTCAGACAGCGCCAAAAGTCGTTGTCAATTCTGCTTGAAGTCGGTGAACCGAAAGATTGGCTACTGGAAGTGAACACTTGTTGGCAAGAGATGAAAAAAAGGCTGCGGCTTCATCATGCGGACAACTTTTCGAAATACAATTGTGCTAAAAATATCCATTTCGCTGTGGCAAAATCATTTGAAGTTCAGTTTGAGGTGCGCCTCCAGTATTTTTTCAGGCTTTTGAAAGATCAAAGTAATGTGTGAGATGTAAAAAATTATGCGTTTACCACGCTTTCCAGCTTTGAAGGAAATAAATGACGTTGAAAAAAATTGTAAAGAGCGCGGTCGCTCCAAAGGCGCCGCCACCGTGTTTTTGCCTTCCTCTGTTCCAGGGAATTCACCCCCAAAGTGTCTTTGCTTCAGGATTCTTAGCATTGTGTGTTCAATTCTACCCGCATGAGAGTTGTTATCGCAGACCACACAAGGTTTTTCATGGCAGGCTTGTGCTGAGAATGGAGCTAAGCCTGAAAATATTGTACAAAAGAAGTGTTAGACACAGAATCAAAGAATATCAGCGAAACATCAATGATGTTTTTTGCCTCCATTCTGCCGCAAATTGCCTTGGCCAGCAGGAGCAGCGGCAATTCCACCAGAGGTGGCCTGCATGAGTGTGCATGAAGCAACACTATGGTGTGTGAAGTTAGAGGCCACAATTTCCTACAACTACAGCAGTTTGTTTTGCAAGACTTTGCTGGTTGGCCCAAAAATGGGGGATACCTCAAGCCTTGCTTCCAGTAGAAGGAGACTGACACCAAGATAGTTCCATCGATGTTGGGGACTTGGTTCTCCATCTACATCCCGTTGCATTCGGCTCAGCATTGATACAGCTGACATACTGCATTTCCTGACAAGAACAAGCTTCATCTTTCGTGTCTTGGCAGCGCTGATGAATTGGAAGACCATCCCTGTTGAATATAGAAATACAATGAACATATAGAATAATCGAAGGAAGTTTAGAAGTCAAACTTCCGACAGTATGGACAGATGAAAAGCAGAGGTGGTAAGAGTCAAAGAAGAGAAGAGAAGAGAAGAGAAGAGAAGAGAAGAGACGAGACGAGACGAGACGAGACGAGAAGAGAAGAGAAGAGAAGAGAAGAAGAGAGAAGAGAAGAGAAGAAGAAAGAAGAGAAGAGAAGAAGAAAGAAGATCAAAAAAGAGAAAGTCTCAGAAGAAAGAAGATCCAGAAGAAAGAAGATCCAGGTGTGCGAAAAGGTAGCAAAGTCGCGAAACACTTTGTTTTTGCAATGATTTGTGGCTCGGAGGGTCGAAAAGTAGGCTCGCTAAAGCGGCGGGTGCGGAGCCAGCTAACCAGATGAGCGATGAAAAATTGCACGCCGTTGTGGCGCGAAGCACATTTCGAAGTCAACCGGACCACTTTTGGAAGTTGAGATGTCGAAAAAGTGACCGCCGTTGTGGTGCAAAGCACATTTCGAAGTCAAAATGTACAAAGCACACCGGGCCCGGACCACTTTTGGAAGTTGAGATGTCGAAAAAGTGCACGCCGTTGTCGCGCGAAGCACATTGCGAGGTCAAAATGTACAACGCACACCATGTTCGGACCACTTTTGGAAGTTGCGATGTTGAAAAAGTGCACGCTGTTGTGGCGCGAAGCACATTTCGAAGCCAAAAGTGCAAAAAGCTGTGGGGTACGGAGTACTTTTGGACGTTCGGATGTGGTTTCGCGTGACAGGCGCAAGGGATTGTGCACCTTCTCAAAAGTGAGCAAAACGTGAGGGTTTTGTAGCATTTCCAAAAACGATGGCAGGCGTGGGACATTTGAAGAGGATCTGCAAAGATGCATTTTCCGTGGCAGGCGCAGTCCAAGAGACATGGTCATCAGAGATGTTAGGAAGTCCGGGTGCTGATTTCCTGAGACGGTTGCATTTTGGAGCATCAGATCTTCAGGTTTACTGAGATGATTTTGCATGACAAGTGCACTTCGTATGACCCGGTATCACTTTTTCGTGGCAGGTGCAGTAGTTTAGACAGGTGGAGTCGAAAAATCGCAAAACGCATTGGTACGAGGCCGTCAGCTCCGCACTCAACTTTCGATTTTTGAAGGAAGTCTCGCCGAATTGCTTCGTCTTTGATGTTGTCAACTTTAAAAAATGAGGAAGTCTCGCAGAATTGCTTCGTTTTTGATGTTGACAAGTGCAGAAATTGAGGAAGTCTCGCTGAATTGCTGCATTTTTGATGTTGTCAAGTTCAAAAACTGATGAAGTGTCGCAGAATAGCTTCGTTTTCAAGCTTGCAGATAGAAAGAGAGAGGGAGAGAGAGAGAGAGAGATAGATCGATAGATAGATAGACAGATAGATAGATTGATCGATAGATAGATAGATAGATAGATAGATACATAGATAGGTAGGTAGGTAGGTAGGTAGGTAGATAGCCAGAGAAAGAGAGAGAAAGAGAGGAGACCTCAACCACCTTTCGGTCCATCAGTGGCTTCGCTCTGCCACCCGTGATTCGCAACAACCAACCTCTCATAGGTTTCCTATTTTTGAAACTTCCGCCACCGCCTTGTGCGGTACTACTGGTATAGGGATATTATGGAACATCATAGTAGCATCAACAAGATATCAAAGTGATATATGATCAGCTTTGAAAGTCAAGCACGACAGATACCCGACAGGTCTTGCAACAACAGGTTTTTGCAACACCTGTGCCTTTTTGCCAGGGCCATGCCTAAGTTGACCATCGATGATGTGCCTTCGGAGATTTTGGGGAACTGTTTGGGAGAAGCTGTTGCTGGGAGAGTTGAATTAAATTAAACATGATGGAAATGTTTTGAAGCAATGGAAAGGGATGATTAGTGAGTGACAATGACATGATAATGATCAGCCAGAATGTAGAGTCGCGCTTGCGTGTTTGGGAAGCTGGCCATGCAGCATCATGAGGTTGATGTGGCCGGCAAGCGCATCTTCATGCGCGTGGACTTCAACGTGCCTCAGGAACGCGGGCAAAATTATAGAGATATATATGTATATATTAATATATATGTATATCTATAGATGTATTTATATATATATATTATATGTAGGTATATATAATATATTTAAAAATCAAAAGAAATTTAGAAATCAAACTTCGACAACATGGACACATGAAAAAGCAGAGGTGGGAAGAGTCAGAGAAGAGAAGAGAAGAAGAAAGAAAATGCAGGTGCGCGAAAAGGTAGAATCGTCGCGAAACACTTTGTGTTTCCAATGTTTTGGGGCTCCGGAGGGTCGAAAAGTAGGCGCGCTAAAGCGGCGGGTGCGGAGCCATCTGGTGGGATGAGAAATTAAAAAATTGCATGCCGTTGTGGCACGAAGCAGATTTGGAAGTGAAAAAGCCAAAAGCATCCGGAGCACTTTTGGCTGTTGAGATGTTGAAAAATTGAACGAGATTGTGGCGCAAACTAGATTTGGAAGTCAAGTGTAAAAACCTCACGGTCTCAGACCACTTTTGGAAGTTGAGCTGCCAAAAAAGTGCACGCCTTTGTGGTGCGAAGCACATTTCGAAGTCAAACTGTGCAAAAAGCTTTAGTGCCGTAGCACTTTTGGAAGTTGAGATGTTCAAAATGTGCATGCCGTTGTGGCGCGAAGCACATTTCGAAGTCAAAAGTGTTAAAAACTGACGGTCTCGGACCACTTCTGGTAGCTTGGATGTGGTTTTGCGTGAAGGCAAGGGATTCGGTACCTTGCCAAAAGTGACCAAAACGTGAAGGTTTTGTATTAGTTTCAAAAACGTTGGCAGGCCTGGGCCATTGGGAGAGGACCTGCAAAGATGTACCTGCAAAGATGTATTTCGCGTGGCAGGCGCAGTACAAAAGACACATGAGTCAGACATGTTAGGAGGTCCGGGCGCTGATTTCCTGAGAGGGGTGGCATTTTCGGAGCGTCAGATCTTCAGGCTAAGATGACTTTGCATGACGTGTGCAGCACTTCGTATGACCTGGCTTCATTTTTTCGTGGCAGGTGCAGTACTTTAGACAGATGGAATGAAACAACGCAAAACGCATTGGTACGAGGCCGTCAGCTCTGCGCTCAAATTTCCATTTTTGAAGGAAGTCTCGCAGAATTGCTTCGTTTTTGATATTTTCAACATCCAAAATTGAGGACGTCTCGCAGAATTGCTTCGTTTTCGACGATGTCTCGCAGAATTGCTGCGTTTTTTGCTGTTGTCAAGTTCAACAAGTGAGGAAGTCTCGCAGAATACCTTCGTTTTCAAGCTTGAAGACATAAGATAGATAGATATATAGATAGACAGACAGCCACAACCACACTACAACTACAACTCCAACTGCAACTGCAAATGCTGCAACTACGCTACACTACACTATTACTACAGCAGCAACTACAACTACAACTCCAAATATACGACCGGACCCTACATTAAACGACACTAATCACACCACACTACACTAATTACACTACAACAACTACTACAGCGACAGCTACAACTACACTACAACTACGCTACATTACACTACACTACTTGCACTACACTACACTACACTACGCTACACCACACCACACTACACTACACTACGCTATGCTACGCTCAGCTACGCTCCACTACATTGAACCACACTCAACTACAAGTACAGCTACAACTACATTACATTACACTACACTACACTAATTACACTACACTACGCTACACTACACTGCATTAACTACAGCTACAACTACAGCTACAACTACAACTGCAACTAACTACACTACATTACGCTACACTACATTACACTACAATCATACAATCAATACACTACTTTACGCCACACCACAACTACAGCTGCAACTGCAACTACACCTGCGCTACACTAATTACACTGCACTACGCTACAGCTACAACTCCACCACACTACAGCTACAACTACAACTGCGCTACACCACGCTACATCCAGCAGTTGTGGGTGAGGTGACCACTGCAACCATTGCAGCCGCTCCAAAAAAACACAGCTCTAACCATCTTTCGGTCCATCAGCGGGTTCGCTCTGCCATCCATGCATCACAGCAATTCACATCTCCTATAGCCCATAGTGTCATATATTTGAAACTTCCCCCACCGCCTTGTGCGGCACTGCTGGTATACGTATATACACTATATATATAAATATTTATTTATCATATATAGATAAATAAATAAATAACTAAATATATATATATATACATATATGTATTATAAATATATATTGTCCTACATAGATGTTTTGTTGTAAATATACGTATTAAATATATAACGTAAAACATAACACAGCATGAAATAGAATAAAATAATAAAACTTTTATAATGTAATATAACATAATATAGTATAACTTAATATAACATAATATAACATAAAATAACATAATAATAAATAACATAACATAATATAATATAATATGATACATTATAAATTTAACATCCTATAATATAATATAATTTCATATAATATAGTATAATATAATATAATATGATATAGTATAATATAATATAATAACATACAAAATAATATAGTATAATATAATATAATATAATACAAAATAATGTAGCATAAGATAATATAATATAATATAATATAACAAAACCGAATAGAATAGAATATAAGGTACTCTAGCATAGTATAATATAAGATCACATGATCTAGTATAATATGATATGTTTTAAATAATATAACATAATGTAATGTAATTCGATATGATATAATTTAACATTATATATATATATTTATGTGATATATGTATAAATATACTCGGAACCACTCTTGGGCAGGAGGAACTCCCAACCTGAACTTTCTCCTGTGCCTTTGTTTTTTGAAGGAGTGGTTGTTTACAGACCTCTGGTACTCCTGTGTTGGTAGGCAGTCATTGATCAATTCCCATGACCTGCGAATGTGTTGCGTTTCTGACCGAAAGGACAAGGCCGATCCCAGCAAGATCACCAACACCCAACGTATTGATGGTGCCTTGCCCACCATCAAGAAGGCTCGGCATGTCCCGAGATCTACCAGATATTGCCATTCAAATGGGTTTCAAAATGTTTCAATGGTTTAAAAAAAAACAGACAAATCCCTGGCAAGGTCTTGGACAAGGGCGCCAAGGCAGTTGTGTTGGCATCCCACCTGGGCCGACCCGATGGCAGCGTAGCAGCTCGCTTGAAGACTGGAAGACCATGACGTGTGCAGTCGCTGCAGCTGGCCGGTTCACATTGGTTCACCCCTCAGCTGAGGTTGCGAAGTTCTCCATGGCACCAGTTGCAAAGGTGCTCGAGGACAGTTGTTGAGTGCTGCCTGTCGCTGACTTTCTGACATTTTGACTTGTCGATCATGCTGTGGATCTGACTCATTTTGACAGAAAGGGGTGGAAAGTGGGCATTCCTCCTGTTGTTCCTGGCTTCACTCCGCTTGGAAAGGAGAAACTGGGCAAACCCGTGATCTTCTGCAAAGACTGCGTCGGGGCCGAGGTTGAGGTGTGGAACCGTACTCAGATGCCTTGCGAGGGGATCTCATTAAGCTATGACAAAGGATAGAGAGGATAGTGGCAATATAGAGATGGTCTGGGATATTGGGGATATTGGCACGTTTTCACTTTGGCTCAAGCTGTGGTCAGGCAGTTGTGAATAAATGGTATGAACAAATGTTGCAGGCAACTTGTGCAGACCCTGCACCGGGCAGCGTCATCCTGTTGGAGAACTTGCGATTCCATGTGTCTGGTCAAGGATAGTGCTGCAGTTGAATCAGTTGAAACCTTCAAACTTTTTGGTCTCGTGACGAATGTTGTACCAGTAGCCTGGTTGAATTTGACTTTCGTTCTCTTGTCAAGTGATGTCACATGATGTCACATGTGTGGAGGGAGGCTCTTGCTGTGTCGAATTTGGTGCACGGCTTAATTGGTTCCAGACCTGGCGACCGAGGTGGAGGAAGAAGGCAAGGGCGTGGATGCCGAAGGCCGTGGAGATGTTGATCACTGTGTTCCGTCCGCTGTGCAGACATGGAAAAAGTATGGAAACAATACGAAAAAAGGTGACATCCTTTGCATAAACAGAGTTGAGGTCATAAAGGCAGGCGTGTCTTCTGAGGCTTTAGAAAACATGGCTATGACTAATTACTAATAACCAGTAAGTGACCATGAGAAGGAGAGACTTGTATGACAATCTCCGGATAGTTCAGATATATCCATTCTCTCTTACGAAAGGAAACAAGATCAAGGCAGAGAAGGACAAGGTCGCTGCCTTCCGTGCCTCCATCAGGCTGGAGCTGACACGTGCATGTGCCCACGGGATCATACGGGGCAGTGACAATATCCGTTGTGCAACAGTTCACACGTTGTTCTTGGCATGGCTTCAATATCTTCAATGGATTGCTACCTGCTTCTGGGAGACATTCAGAGACCGAAAAGAGCCTTGTCCGTCAGTTTAAGCTCTTGTCTCTCAGTGTGCTGAAGTGTCTGGGAGGAAACTGGCGGACGTGTACTGCAACGATGCCTTCGGCACTGCTCACCGTGCTCACAGCTCCATGGTATGGGCCTCTGCACTTGTAGTCTTATGGCTGACTTGGCATCAACCATTCAAAGAGGATCAAAGGGGATCAAAGAGGATTGCCATTTTTTGAGAGCTCAGGTCGGGGAGGGGTTCGAAGTGAAGTGCGCCGGTGACTTGATGGGCAAGGACTGCCCTGGCTTGAGATACGAAGCAAATAAGCTTCTGGCAGTATTGTACTTGTTCATACTTTTCTCATCGTGGTCATCCAGTGAGACTAGTTAACACGCCCAGACCTTTGGATGTTCGCAATTTTCGCATCCATTGCCATCTATGCCAACGATTTAGATGCTCATTTTATCTCATTTCAATACACATGGTGTCCATGTAGATTATGTAGCATATGTATCAATTGTATATGTAAATTATTTCATATACTTTTATAAACTTACACAAACTATCACAAACTTACATAATCTTACCCTAATATGGTACATATACCTATATCACATACCTTGACCATTTTTTGGTGACGAATCGCGCACAGGAGCTGAGCGCTTTCGCCAAGGTCTTGGAGACTCCGGCCAAGCCGGTACTGGCCATTCTCGGTGGTGCCAAGGTGCGGTGAATCAAAATTTACAAATGGATTGTTAAAATATGGTTAAACTATGGTTAAAATATGGTTTAATATGGTTAAAATATGGTTTACTATGGTTAAATTATGGTTTAATTTAATCATGTTTCATTCACCGTATTTATACTAGTATAACGATGAAAAATGGCAATGTTGTGTGGTTTGCACTGTTATGTTTAATGCTGAAACATAGCAATGTTGTGTTTTGCTGCCTCGAGTTTGAACCATGCACTTGCAAAAAAACAATGAACACACCTTGGAATCTTTTCGGTTTGGATAAGTCAGGGAAACAAATCAGAATCACATGACCGCTAAGACAACCGAAAGTACAGGTCAGCGACAAAATCCAGCTGATCATGAACATGCTTGACAAGGCTGAGAGCTGCTTTGTTGATTTCTTCTCTGCTGCATGTGCTCCAAAAAGAATGACACACAATGCATTTTGGCAACCAGTTCTTGGGCTTGCAAGTAATGTGATCTTTCTTTTTCATCTCTTCGTTGTGCAATACTTGCTGTTTCAGCGGGCACCACGTTTTGATGTCTCCATATGCTGGATGATCGCAGTGGTTGAAGGTGAACATGATGATCATTGGCGGCGGCATGGCATACACCTTTTTGAAGATCAAGGATGCTGGCACCATGGAAACAACCCTTTGAACTGTATGCGCGCAATTGGCCCCCAAATTCAATCTGATCATTTTGCAATATGTTCAAGGTGCCTCAAGTAGGCGTTGGAAACCAATAGATTTTTCCCGTGTTCGCATTTGCACAGCAGTATTTTGGTTTGAAACGGTAGACTTCTCTCCACCAACAGTCTTTTACCGATTTGTTCCAGCATTCACAGGATGGCATGACCATCGGCAGCTCCCTCTATGATGAAGAGGGCGCCAAGATTGTCCCTGACATTTTGGCCAAGGCATCCCAAGCATCAAGGAGTGTGAAAGATGTAAAAGGACTATGTCAAAAAATGTATCAAGGATGGCTCAATGCTTCCGCAGATTCTCACGCACATCCAGAAATCAGGCTGAGAAGCTTGGCGTTAAGATCATTCTGCCAGTGGACTTCACTTGCTCCTCCAAGTTCGGAGAGGATGGCGAAATCAAAGAAGGCTGGCAGACGGAACATGGATGAACCATGATGAACCAATCAACATACAAGAGGGATTCCTCTTGCAACTCTGTGGCCAAGAGCCAATGGCATAGTGCCTTAGTCCCTCCACGAGGGATTCCTCTTCTTTCCGTTGCCAAAACAGCAGTGAACTAAGCAGTTGAGATATTCGTGCTTCGGGGTGCCCACCAGCTGCTCGGAGGTGTCACAAAGGAGACAGGTATCCCAGAGGGCTTCATGGGCTTGGACTGCGGACCGAAGTCTATTGAGGAGAATGCCCAGGCTTGGGTCTCGCAGAATGGCAGAGAATGGCATATATATAATATTATATATATATTATTATATATATATATATTATATTATATATTATATATTATATATTATATATTATATATTATATATTATATATTATATATTATATATTATATTATATTACATTATATTATATTATATTACATTATATTATATTATACTATATTATTATATTATATTATGTATATTCTATATATATATTATACATACATAGTTTTCAGATTTTTCCTCTACTTGGAATATTTACCACAGACAGCATATGTTCCCTTTTCACTCGCAGATCCGGCTCCAGACTGCTGGTCCTCCAGGCAGTCAAGGAAAGCAAGACCATCATTTGGAATGGAGTCTTGACTCAACTAGCTTTGACACAGAAGTTGCTTCAAGAATCTATCGAAGTTATTTTGGGCATGGCATTTTGAAATCTAGATGCAGTTGGTGCCACTTACTTTTAATTGGGGATTGTGAAGGCCCAAATTTAGAATGAAATCCATGTGATTCAATTTGCTTCAATTGCTGCCAAGGCCCCATGGGTGTCTTTGAGATGTCCAAGTTCGAGACCGGCACGTCACCTGCCATGCAACAGGGTCATCTGTTTCTGCGTTTGCATCTTCACTTTCACTTTAGATGCTCGTACATGGTTGGGGATACCTCAACCATGGGCATCCCCTCTATCACAACAAATCATTTTGGATCATTATGGTATGTTCTGAAGTTTCCAGACATACCCAGAAATGGGCTTGTCCAAAAACGGAGGCTACTCACTTATATATATATATACTTTTATCAATTTTGGTAGGGAAAAATGATGATGAATCTTCAACAAAAAAGGGTATCCTGGTATCCCATTTTCAAAGAAATCCTGTTTCCCAGGAAGAAGCTGATGGACGCGGTCGTTGAGGCCACTGGCGCGGGCACTGTCACTGTCATCGGAGGCCTGGATCGAACCATCGCATCCAAGATTTGGGTTTGTCTGAAAATAGTGTACCCCTACACCCAATGGTTAATGATCATTATCCCTACTAAATGGCTATAATTGGGGGTCTACCCCATTTTCAGACATACCCATTTGATCCAAAGAAAGCCTTTTGATTCTGCTCTTTGGTGAAGTGGAGGTGGTGACACTGCCACAGCTTGCAAGAAGTACGGCACTGAAGACAAGGCGACTTTGACCAGCGGACAGCGACTGTTGACGAGTCAACAACGCACAATGCTTGTTACGGTGACACGGTGACACCGGGTCTGTCGTTGATAAAATAGACCTTAAAGACACCCCACTCAGAACAAGTACTGTAAATCTGCATGGGCATTCATTTTTCCAGAGTGTTCACACACACACATATATAATATAATATAGTATAACATAACATAATATAACATAATATAATATAATATAATATAATATAATATTATATTATATTATATTATATTATATATATATTATATAATATTATATACACATAGAAAAACAACATGTTCCAGAAAACTGCCTCCCTTTCTGCCCTTTCTTCATTTGACCGGGCACCGGCAGGTGACTCACTGCAGCACTGGCGGAGGTGCCTCCTTGGAGCTCTTGGAGGGTAAGGAGCTCCCTGGTGTTGCAGCCCTTAACGACAAGCCTTGGACTCAGCAGACGTGGATGCAGTGGCAATGTTGGATAATGTTGGGAGAACAGTATGAGAACGCTATGGCAGTATATGGCAGTCACTGCTAGTCCTTCAAACATCTTTAATTTTCTTTTTTTGGTGAGCCATAGACTCGAAGTGCAGCTTACCAGCGAATGTTGGCATTACGAAGCACTCCGTGTTCAATTTTTAGATCAATGGGAAAGATAATCAGAAAGAAACATAGAAACCTAGCAAACAGCCTGGGCGGGGGCCGAGAGAAGTCATAGCTTTGGTAACCCACCGGGATAGTGTTCTTGCATGGGTTCAATATGGTTCAATTTGGTTCATACTATGTGACATCGATGCTAATATGCTTGAAGGACATGTTAGATTTGAAGCACACTAGAAGTGAGTTTGGCTCGATTTATCAGTCAAATGGCAGCTGAGGTGAATCCATCCAGAGCGATTGATTGATCTGATCCGCAGTTGTCTCTGATAGCAACCTCCATCTTTTTTTCTGGGAAACCCCAGCGCCAGCTGGCTGAGAAGGCCAATCGATTTCTTCAGCAGCCTCTTGCCTTTGGGCATGACAGACTGCGCACAGGGAGAGCGGGAATAGCCTGGACCCAGCAATCAAATGCGATCAATCACCATGCTCTTGTAGCTATTTTAGATTTATCCAAACCGATTTTAAAAAAGATAACAGAATAAACTGTCAAGGTACAATTTCAATTTTGGGTGTCCCGCCGTGTGTCCGGATGCTCTCCACACATGGCAGAAGCTGCCTTGTGAAGAGACCACTGCAGGCATTACAACAGCACACAGGAAAAACTTGCTGACCACAGCACACCCCGCCACATCGGAAACTTTTGAAACTTCGGTGAAGTTCATGATCGGTTGGGGGTTGCTTGATTTGCAGGATGAGGGTCGCGCACTCATACTGTGTAGTCTCCTTGAATGTCTCTTGTGCATGTCATATTTAGCACTAGCAAAGTTTGCCGGCCACAGTCACCCTGTGTTTTACTTTACAAATCGAAGAACTCTTGGTAGTGGGAATATTGGATTTGATGCATTGCTTGCCAGGCGCAGCGACGGTCTATTGAAACTGCGCCAAGCCCAGCGAAAGTGGAGGCACTGTGTAGGGGAAGCAGTAGGCGTTGCCGCACCGCGCAGGGTCTGTTGCAGAGGCATTTCAGCAAGATATTCCAGGGCCTAACAAAGGCTTAGTCTTGCTTATGCGATTCGGCGCTGCGTTTGATGGTGTTTGTAACAACACAGTCAGGGTGTGGCCCGAGCACAACTGATTCCACTGTTTTTCATGAAGGCAGTGTCAGCGCCAAAGTCAGCGCAAAAGAAGGCAACAAACACAGGTGCCTTCTGCATGGGAGGCACAATTGGATCATAATATAGATTCATATAGAATGATATAGATTTAATACAAGAAGTCGAATTCTGATTCCAAGCTAGCTTTGAAGAGGATCGTTCAGCTCATGTGAAGCAGTCTTGACTCTTTCCAGGAGAGGACACTCTCCGAGGCCGAGGCACGTGCCGCATCTCTGAATACTAAGGATCAGAGGTTCACCTTCCTGGCTTTGGCATGGTTAGGGGCAGCAACGATTCTGAGTAACTGGTAATAAGATGTACAGTAATAAGGTTAAGATCTGATAGATGAATAATTGGCTGAAAAGAGATTGCAGAACTTGGCTACAATCAGCAGGTACTTCAGCACTTGCCTTTTCTGTTTCAGTGTTCCTGGTCATTGCGAGTGAACAGCCTGACTGACATTTCCGTTGCTCCCTTTCCTCTACACTTGGAGGTGTCTCCAGCACGAGGAAGGTCACACAAGGGCAAATATTCAAGCAGCAGGCTCCACGGCAGAAGTAGAGGCTTTGTATGGCTTTGTAATGTATTTCACCTTACAAAGAGAGATGCTGTCGTAGGCGTAGGTGTCATCTCACAGACTCGTCACAGACTGCAAACCTTTGACACTGCTGAATTTCTCTCTGAGGTTGGAAGCTTCACAGGCGCATCCCAATTGATCAATCGAGGGTTGAATCACTTCTCAGCGTTGCTGACTCCCTAGAATATCTAGAATCACCCAAAAAAGTGACACTAATGGAAACCGGCTCCAGATCAATATCAGACCCGTTCGATCTCAAAGGTGCCGATTTTTTTTTGTCAAACCTTGTGACGTTGGTGTCGATCCCCATGAACTTCGCATCAGACACTTCTACCCTTGGGAACATTGGAAGAGGAGTCGGGACTCTCAGCTGTCTTTACAATCTTCACAAGTATAAGATGATTAAGATGTAGAGACACCCCAAGAGCTGTGCAAGTTTCTATCACTGACCCCATAGCAATCCCTTAATGGTTGCAGAGCTACGGAACACCAAGGAGAAACCAAAGCCAAGACAGGCCTTGGCATCTGGTGAAAGTTGTGTTCTCACGCTTGTGAGATCTGACTCATTTTTAGATCTCGCGGATTTCAAGACACATGTTTATTGATTACTTTGGTTTTATTTGGGCCGGTTTTAACGTTGTAATACGTTGTACATTTTTTATGTTGCTAAAACATCGAGGTCATAGCTATAAATGATAAAACTATGACCCATCGACTACCAGCCTATACCAATCCATTTCGGATTAAATGATTCGAATGGTTGATTAACATGTTGGGCTTTTAAAAACAGATTGCCATTGGTAAACCCTCCATCATTATCTAACTTGTCCGGTTTTTGGATCCGTCGAAATACAGCCTTCCCCCAGGCTCTTTGGCATGGTTGATGTAACCATGATGTGAAGGGGTCGCATCGACTTACCCGTATAGGAATCAAAGAGTTGATGTGACTATATAAATGCCTTCACTGTAACTTTGACTTCCAGTATCATTAATCTGATACAGTACTGTACAATACGATATATCATTGTATATGTATGTAACTAAGACACACATATATATAATTATATATATATACATTATACATAAGACATAATATATATATATATTATATATATTATATATATATTATATATATATGATGTATATATATATAATATGCACAATGCACATATCTAATCATCTAATCTTACGTCAATGGAATTCCAGGCCATCGACATCTGAGTCCTTGGTTTCCACTTCTTCTGAGGAAGGCACGGCATGGCGCGGTGACGTGTCCCGCTTTCCCAAAGCCTTAGCCGCCGTCGCCAGGCAACGATGAGGCGCCCAGACTGCCGGATGACCCAGGGCAAGGATGGGCAAGGTCCTGCAAGGTGGTACACTAGAAGAGATTGTGGTTGATGATTTCAGGGTTTTGCTTTGTACTGGGAGGAAAAATAGTACTGTATGGAACTATGGAAAAGAAGTATGTCAATGTATACCAAACATTGTGATATTCAAGTATGAAATATGTATGAAACATGTATGAACTATGTATGGCATATGTATGGCATATGTGCAGTTCACCCCCAGCACAAGCATGAACGCTTTGTGACTTTGTGACGGTTTGAAGGAACCGACTCATTCATTTCCGCTAAGGCCAGCGATGGTTTTGCAGAAAGCGCTCCTTAGGCCCTGGTGAGATCCAGCGAGCCGACAGAACGCCCAATGTGCTCATCCTGATTATAGAATAATGGTTTATAATAATCATGATTATAATGGTTTATAATAAACCATCCATTAGACACGTCCTTTTCTCGCAGATTTCGATGGTCCGCATGCTTTTCCGCTGTCACCAACTGAAAGACCAAACTTGTCGTTCCAGGCGGAACTCACTCCAACGAACGGAGCTGATGAATGTTTGGCAGCCGAGATGATCCCGCAGGTCCCAAGGTCTGTGTTTTGTCCTTCAAAAGGACACCCCCCCGGAATTTGTTGATTTTTCTGTAGTTGTTCCAGACTTGAGTCAGACCAGTCTTGGATTTTGCTGAGGCAGACATTAGTTCAGCAAAAGATGTGATTTCAAGCACCTTGGCCAATTGATCGGCATATGCAGCTCTCTCGTACTCACACAAGTTTCACCAAGACAGATCATTTTCAGATTATCATGTACTCAGAATAGACGACAAGACTGCGGTGACAACATTTACTGTATACATGAAGGACGGGATAACCAGATCCGATGAATCCGATGCGGAGGTAGTGTAGAATCATATATGATCATATATGTATGGTTTTCCGAGTGTTTAAAGGTGTATCAGATCCGCATACATGATATATCTGCTTCCAGTTGTTTGAATGGGCGAGCCCGCCAGGAATCCCACGGAGGTAGTCTAAGTTTTGTGTTTTATCTCGTGTTTAAATACGGGCACCGTGGGGAATATGGGTCCACAATCAAACTTTGTGCTCCAGTGGTATATTTCCAGACAGTCTTCTCCTTCTATTGTACCAGGCGATGTAAATCTTGCTGAGCTCTTCGATGCAGGTGCTACGTTTCGGGAGGGGCAGATGTTTGATTTTTTTTTTGTGATTTTTGTGAATTTGAGTGAATGGGCTTGTTCGGAATTTCATGGAATTTCAATGCAACTTTTCTTCATACAACTTTCAGATCTTTCAGGTGAAGAGGAAACCGAAGAGGACAAGAAGAACAAGCCGGAACCCAAGCAGCTGCAGGACGAAGATTGAGAGCGCCTGCCGGCTGATAAGGAACTTTGCAAATAGTGAAGAGCACAGAAACTTCAGCAGGCTTTCAACATATATCTATAGTTTGACATATGTCAATGATAGTGAAATATTGTGAAATGGTGTAATTCTCAATGTGTGCTTTTTTTCACAAGCCTTGAACATCAAGGCAGCTGGCATCGCTCAATGTTGCAGTCTTAGATTCTTGAATTCTTGTGATGAAAAAGGCAAACAGTAAGAATATGATCATGGTCTCCCTTTGCTTCCATTGAAGGTTCTTGATTGATGTGTTGAAACCACATGATTCCACATGCTCAGAGTACTGACCTCTGCAACTTTTCTCGATAGAACAAGTTACGGTAAAAGAAAAAGGCTGTTGCATGTACACAAGGAAAGGACACCTTATTTGCTGATTTGAGTTCCTGAAGCTGCATCACGGGCTGGCAATTGGTTGATACCTATTCTAATTTCAGTGAATTATACTTGTAGAGAGGAGAAGGAGAGTTATGAGGGAGGGATATCAGGGATATCTAATTTCACGGAGAGATCAAGTTTAAGTATGTTTAAGGAGTTTAAGGGAGATATCCAGAAGATGTCCTTCCTCGAATCTTGGTCACCTCCATTGGTTTGTGGGCCGGAAGTGCCCAGGGCGACTACATGGCATCGAAATTGATATCAAGGACGAAAGTTGGGGAAGTTTCAACTCGGCAACGATCCTCTCTACGGACCGAATTCAGGGGTTCCATGCATTGAAAGGGCAGATATCCCAACATTCCCGACCTTTCCTCGACCTTTGACATCTTTCAATTCAGGTCATTCAGCTTCACACAATTTCGTAGTTGCCACGCAACAGGACGGAGGAGCGGCCTCCTGCCAGTGAGGAGGTGTGCCAGTTGGTACAAGTTGGAAGACGAAACACACTCTTTCCACCGCTTTCTAAGTTTTGACTGCTGAACATGATTTGCAAAGCGATTCACTATAGTGAGGTGATGGAATGGTGATTGATTTTAAATTTTGTTTTTGAGGTCGAATTGGGGGAAGGAGGATGCTTGGATTTGTCCACCCATTCTCAACGTCGCAGGCGAAGATTGAGCCAGCAGATGTTGTGATCTCAGAGGTAAGGATTGTAAGGATTCCGATGCCCAGTGGGATGCAATGTTGGTAATACCAGTCAGGAGTGCAGACCCACTCAGACCATCTCAGACCTACCTACTCAGGCCTCTTTGCTCAAGGAGCAATTCGTTGCTCGTGTTCGCTTGCGGTCAGAGGCACAAAGTTGGTCTTAGGGTGGGGCAATGAAGCACATCCTTTGCCTTCGACAGGATTCATTTCGGAGGATTGGATATACTTGTCACAGCGACCATGGTCGTGCCTCATGCAGCCAGGAATGGCGAACGGAGTTTCCGGTAGAGGCGAGACGAACGTTCTAGAGACATCTTCACGTTCTGAGACATGTTCATGTCTTCAACACTATTTCAATGTATTCAGACTGCATGATTTGAATACTTGAATGCCACTGAAAGAGCACGGGGTCTCATTTTTTCACCGCGGTGAAGGCACTTCAATGCACTTCAATGCGCTTCAATGCACTTCAAGTCCCTAGATGCACTGATGGACTGATGGCCGAGGTTTTAAATCAGCTGACCGCAGCCTACGAGTCGTGGCGCGATGAAGATGGCCTTCGGACCGTGAGCCTCCGGAGTCTCAATCATGTTTGGGAGACCCAGCCAATTTATCCAATTTCCAGATGAATCAATTTATCAGCCCTTGGGCCCTTGAGCTTTCGCTCAGGTCCTGCGCTACTTGCTTGGCTGGCCATCAACAGTCTTACAACACGTGCTGGAGGCCAGGAGGAACGACAGGAACACCGTCTGCAACGACGGAACGACGTTCTTCGTTTGGCCTTTGCTGCCAGGCACCTCCACCTGAGAGGCTTTGCTTTCAGAACCTGCGAGACTTTCTGGACGGGATGCGTTCGGCATTGCTTGAGCCGGTTAAGCTTCATGATCATCATGATCTCACCAGGAGTACAATCTCTGCCCCATTCTGCCCCCACTCTCCAAATTTCTCCAATATGGAGCCAGCCATAGCCATAGCCAGCCCCATTCAGATCATTCGAAAGGAGCTCGTGAGGCATGCGTTGGAAGAAGCAGAACTTGAATCGCCAGATGTCTCAAGCTCAATGTTTTCATGTTTTCATCGCACCGCCCGTGACACCGCCCAGCCTGAATTTAGCGTGAAACTAGATGAAACTAGTCCCCGTGAGGGAAATCTATGGAAATTGCGAGGGAAATGGGATGAAATGGGATGTTTTGGATGTGTTGAAACTTAACAATTTTTCCAGCGTCCGTCCCTGACGACTTCCATGTGCAGTGCCGTTGGGTCTTTGCTCCAGGTGCTATGGTCCGAGTGGGACTTGAACCTCGTCCGAGAGAGCTTCAGGCCTACAAAGCTTGGAGATGATCCGAGATTGGTTTCTGCTGCATGCTGGACATCCAAGCCATGAGTTTGGCCAAGAACAAGAGATGCACCAAAGATCACCAAAGTATTTTTGCATATTTTTGCGATGCAGCGGACAAGTTCGAATCGTTTCGAACCTATTTGGGCTTCCGCTTGATCCAGCCGAATCAGCAGGAAGTACTCGTCAAAGACCAGCAACACAATGCCAGTGGTCAACCTCTTCCAGGCCAGGCACTGCACGATTTGATGCGATTTGCGACATGCCAAGATGTTTGGACAGTCCAGTTGTCACATACCTGGTATGGCAAATGAATGTCAAAGTTGATGATAACATGATGATAATAACATGATGATCAATTGATTCTTTGCACAACAAAATCAACAAAGCGGAGCAAGTTGATGCAAGTTGAAGATTCACAGGCCATCGAAGTCTTGGGTTTTCCGGAGCTGAAGATGAACACATCTGATCAGCCGGCCCAGACAGATGGGGGAAAGGTGTGACTTTTGTGAAAACTAAGTCCTTTGATGCCAGAACGGTGGGATGTTAGGTGCAGATGTATTCTATCTGGTGGTTAGGAGGGGGCTCAGGAGCTATGGGTATATCATGTTCCCGATTAAATGGGAAGCCAAGGGCCTAGGGCTACGAAGAGTTTCTGAAAGTTTCTGAACCACATATAACCACATGATAATATATGTTTTTTAAGACTTGCCTTCTGCATTTGTTTTGCTGTAATGGTAGATGATGGCCATCAAGTTTTGTCGAGCTGACACCAAGGCAACGTTGGCTTGCTCAAATCACCAAAGCGGTCTTGGCGCGGAAGGACTGTTCGCGGGATCTGTCAAGATTCATCAAAGGCCATAGTATCTCCAAACATCTTCATGATCCTTCATGAATCTTCGCACATTTTACCCTGAAGAGGCAACGTGTAGCTGTGGATAACAGGAGCATCGCAAATCGCCCGTAGAGATCTCAAGACGTGAATCTTGGGCACCTCCTCCAAATGCCAGGCATTTTGGGATGCGGCAGGTGCTGACACTAACGCTGGCACATCATGAGTCATTCCGCAGGATCGGCATCCAACTATATCCAACTACACTAGATTGATGAAGATAGATGTATAGTACATTATAGGATATTATAGGACTGTATTAAATGGCCCGGATTGCGAACAATTTCACATGTCATGACGCCGTCACAGGGCTGGTCTTGGAGCTCATCTGACCTTCCGAGACTTCCTGCGCTCGGCTCCCAAGTCGCCACATATCACCGAAGCTGACTGCAGCAAAGATAACCGCGACTGATATGCGGGTTAAGAAGTACAGTATGCCAAAGTATGCCGAAAGCCTTCCGTCTTGTTTTCTTTGTTAGTTTTGAACTATTTTTGTACCAGGAATTGCGAGCAGAGCGCTACGCGATGCCGAGAAGGAGAACAGAAGACATGAGTTCCAGACCGAGTGTGAGGTGCGATGCGAAATGTCTGTGGACCAGGACAGGGAGACAAATACCTTCAGACTCAGAACCTTTTGTTGCGGATAACTCTTCGATCAACATTAGATCAAGGGGAAATTACAAGCTCTCACTCGTTGCAATTTCCGTCCCAGCGTAGCGCCTCTTAACAATAACCAGGCTGACTATGAAAAGGGGATGGTCCTTGTGAATGATGGAGATGATGATAATATTGATAATGGTGGTGATGATGCTGATGCTGGTTCTGATAATGGTTGTATTATGTTGTATTGATATGTATTGATGGTGATGCTGGTGGCGATGGTGATCACATATCCCAACGCGCCCAGTAATCTCTCCACGACGGTGCAGGTAATCCGCTGCAGCTCATTTGGCGTTCTGCAGGTGGAGGCACCCGAGTTGGGGGACGTCAGGGATGGAGGGTTTCCCATGGCTTTCCATGGTTTCAAGTTTTACAAGAGAAAGATAAAGAATTCTAATCACGTTTGCATAGTTTTTCTTGACTAGGATGCAGGCAGTACTGCTATGTGCATTTCTTGGGGACCACTGATTTTTCTGGAACCTTTTCAATATTTCTGCTACAGACATTCTGCTCTCCATTGCCACAGGATATGCGAGAACTCCATGGCAGTTTCTGTGCATTGAAGATCTCCATGGTTGGCAAGGCTGGGACAGTGGAGTCGGAGTTCACTAGTGAAAATATGTGAAAATGCCTGAAAATGCCATGAAGCATCATGAAGCACTTGGCTTTGTCCATCCAAATGCAAACAGGACACCACCATGGAATAAAAAGGAATAACATAGGCTTCATAGGGGGCATAGTCTAATCAAGGTCTTGTCTTGTCTTTGAGAAAGGCAGAGGTTTCAGAATGATCAGAATGGCAACTGCAAACTGAAGGACGAAATATCCAGAAAGATCCATGGTCGTGTTGCTGCTGCTATCTTTGCACTGATCTCTGTTTGCATTTTTGCCCAGATCGAGTGGCAAGATCACAAACCGGTTGTTGACGCTGTCTCTCTTTGAAAAGAAGCAGACGCAAACAATTTCGCAGACTTCGCACTTGCTTATAACGCAACAAAGTGTGTTAAATCTCAGTCGGTCACGTGAACTTCGGCGGCAGGCAAATTGTGATACAATGCAGGACCGTGTTCGACACTGGAGCAAAGTAGGGTTCCAGCACATTATTTCATGCAAACATTTGCAATCAATTGTAACCGCAGCTAGGATTGGATTCGTTTTTAAATTTGTGTTCCTTTTGTTTTTTGCAAAAGTACACGAGCTTTGCAGAGCATGCCTGGACAGGGAGCCGGATTGACAAGTCTTCCGTATCACATCACCGAAGCACAGGAGCTACTTCAACGCATCACACAGTCAGTTGACTCTGCGGATCTCCAAAAGCTTCGAGCCCTGTTTGCACCACACAACGCGGGCTTCCACAGATTGCTGGGGGTATCTGGAGTCGGTAGGGTATTGATATGTATTGATAATATGCATTGAGTTTCCATGAATTTCTATTTTCTTTGCCCTATTTTCACGTATTTTCAGCACGCCAAGCAGACAAACATGGATGACAGCTCACAGTTGCCATTGTGGACCCTGCTTGGTTTCCCTTTGAGGAACTTTATTGCGACCAACTGATGCCAAAGGTCGAGAATCGAAGGCGCTGTTTTGTCAGCTGTAAAGAAACATGAAAAAACGCAGTCACAATTCAACCGTTTTCAACCTGCAATTCAGATCAATTCTGGATGGCAGCTCGTTTGTCGGTTCCTTTTGATTCCAAGCGTTTCCTCCGAGTTTCCTCCCTGCATTGACGCCAGGAGGCTCAGCAGGAACCAGTACCGTTCGTAACTTTCCTGCGTCGCTCGTCTCGTTTGATGTTGGGTTTCAACATGTTTCAACCCACCAGTAGCGCCAAAGATGCCGGATGTGACATGTGTCACGATGCTCCGTGGCTTCCGGCCTCAGGGTTACTGACCATACCGCTGCATACCATGATTTCGACATATCGCTTGTGAGGTTGGATGAGAGATATCCGCGAAATGGGGATAGAAGGAGGGGTGTGCTTCATGTTTGGCAGCGAAAGCGGATGAAGCGGCTCATGGACATTGGATACTATTTCAGGGTGATGCAATTTGATCGTTGTGGGTACATTGCTGAAGAACAATCACAGTTTCAATCCAGAATATCTAGCGACGTGTTCTGTTTGAAGTACGGTCATTTGGCCGCTCTGTATGTTTGCGCACCTTTTGAGTTGCAGGATTTTCTTCTCTATTTGGACGTCGCGGAAGTGACATCACCATGGAGGTCTCGATGGCAGGGCATGTTGGCTTGAAGTGCAGAGGCATGACCGAGACATGTGCAAAGAATGTTAAAGAAGATGGTAAAGAGATGTAAAGAGTGAAGGCATGTGACCTCATGTGACATTGAACACCAGACCCATCCAGACCCTGGTTTACAGCTTCCCTGGTTTCCAAGCTGTGAAGAGAACTGAGAATTCGAATCCCAAAGTGTCCGACATGGCTACCTTGGAGATCCTTGGAGATCTTGGAGCCACCCGAACGCTGCCACTAGCATCACTAGCCACGCAGACAGCCTGCCCCAAATACAGTTTCCTTGCAAGCTCCATGGACTCCATTCCAGGAGCTTGAAAAGCGTCGAGGATTCCACATTGCAGTTCTGAAAGAGCAGCCATTTGGCATCATTTGGCCTTTGTTTTTTTGTTTTGAGATGACAACAGCATACAACAGCCTATTTCAACATATTTCAACTCCATGGGTGAATTGCCAGACTGACTAGTAGTCCAGAACGGCAGGACTGATGGATTGTGATCAGCCGTGTTTTAAACACACGCAGATATGTCGTTGTTGTTTCAAGAGACTTTTGGAACTCAACAAACGATTGCTTCCTGCCTTGTAGCTCAGGCTGGCTTTGTTCTTGGAGTCGGGAGTGCTAGGGAGTTAGTGTTTGTACCTGAGCTCAGCCTGCTGAAACAAATTGAATGCAACTGAATTTCAGAGGGCATTGGCAATGAGCATGCACTGAGTTATGAGATGTTATGAGTGTAGGGATGTCTAGGGCGCTTCTTGGCAAGAAGCGTCTCTATGACATCACTCTGCCAAGGTCCTGGCAAGTGGCTCCGGCAACTGGCCGAGACATCATTTTGTTGGGTGTGGTCACGGTGTGGTGCGATGCTGAAATTGATGACTTTTGACCGGGAGATAAGACTTCGCCTCGAATCTTCCACAATTTGCCTACCTACTGGCCCACGTGACACATCCAACTTCTTTGGCTCTGTGGCCTCTCTTGTCGCTATTGGTCTAAAGATCCTGAAAAGGATCAGACCTCAAGATATGGTGCCAAGATGTCTGACAATACCAACCACTGCCAGAAGTCGTGGTCAATTTGCAAACAGGCCTCTAAACATTTAAGATTTTGCCGTTGTGATTTTGCCGAAAACTAACAACAGTGCATCCCACATCGAATGGTGTTTGCCAGGGTTTATGACCTTCCGCCAAGCTGTAGCAAATGAGTTGTAAACTCACAGGCTGCACAAGAAGTGCGGCCACCCTTAATGCCAGAGCAGCTGCCGGACGAAACTGCTGTGCAGCTTGTGTTCATAGTCTGACAACTTCCTTGCCTGTCCACCAGCTGGTCAATTGCAATCAAAGACACAAAGATCAATGTCACAACATGTCACAACCAAAGAATGTGTTTCAATTACAATGAATGATGTACTTGCTTTGTCTGTAAGATCATTAAGATCCTGGCCCAATTGATGGAGAATTGACTGCTGGAACCTTGACATGGCCAACATTGGGAACCCCAAAGGGGTAGATCAGGACAACGCATAAGGATTTCACCAACAGCTCGCATATGCAAAGGGTTGTATGGAATGAAATTGTGAAATATTGTGACACTTTTTGTTTGAACAGTTTTTGCTTGAAAACAAAATTGATTGCTCATTTTAATGTGCCTTGTGTGTGTCCTTTCCACCCGCGTAATTCAATTGGGGCTGATATTCTCAGTGGAAAATAGAAGCTGCTGAGAGGAGCCAGGAGGCATGGTATGAGGTTCACGGCGTTGCTGTCCGATCTATAACTCTCAATCGCATTGCAACCATCGAAACCTGCGAAATCTGCACAGTCAGCCTGCTCTCCTACCCCGGAGATGGCGGCTTCCTCGGACGTGTCGAAGTGGGGAGCGTCTCCACGCGAGATGCTGCACGCGCATGGGAAAGCCCTCACTATCCCCTGGTGAAGTCCCTGTTTCGGAAGCTGTGGAAGTTTCCATGCCGTGGAGGTAACACTCCCTATCACTCCCTATTTATTTGGTTCAGTGCTCTTGGGGAGCGGCGTGAAAAAAAACACAAATGTCAACATGCGAAGGTTGTGAGGAGCCTGGATGATTGGGCAGGTCCATGCTTTTTGCTTCCAACTGAAGGCCTTGTGCTGGTGACCCCAGCTTTAGAAATCGCGCTGCGCACGCTGTTGCTCGGGAATTGATTCGGTCCGTTGCTTTCCAGTCAGATGCGCGCAAGAGGTTCCGATAGGTTCCGTCTCTCGCAGCCAAGAGGTAAAGCTCATTGGTGGAAAAGTTGAGTCTGTCGTCTATGGCGGAAACATAAGGGTTGATGCAAAAACGGGATGTGACGAACAAAAAGAACATTCTTCGCGTGGATTGGGGCAAACGGGTATATATATATATAAACGCAAACCCAGGACGAATCGACGTAACTAGAAGCCTGGTGCATGGCAGTAGACCTTGCCAGAGCGGGTGCGAGGCATGGTTTTTCTGAGAGTTGCAACGAAAGAAACATGTCCGTCCTGCTTCTTGCTTTCACTTTTAGTGAAAGAATAAATGCTGCAACACCAGCTGGTTGCATTGAGTCGAGCTTTTCAAAGCTGCGATTGAGAACATGGAGTTGTCCGCATGAGCGCCGTACTGCCTATACTTCTTCTTGTTCTTCTTCTCCAATTGTTCTTGTGCGACACTTCTGGTGAATGCCCTACTTTACTGCACGCATGCACCGTTCCAGCAGCGTTTTTTTTCCCTGCCTGCTCATTGTTGCGATTGTCAATGGAAGCTGTCTTGCTTCTCAGCTTCGTTTCATAGAAAACCTGCAGCAAAGTCTTCAAAGCGCTTTGGTGCCTGGTGCCTGGACGCTGTAGGCTCCTGTCCTATAGCAAACTAATCCAAGCTATGTGCGTGCGTTTGATTGCAGTTGCCCGTCTGGTGGTACCCAGTGATGTGGTGCTGTTCTTTGTTCCTAATAGCTTCAATATTCTTCACGTTGAAGAAAAACATGTTCCTTGTGACAAGAGACAGGTAATCAGAGGTTCAATGCCTCCAATGTGGCGGACGTAGTCGCTGCTCTTGTTCGCAAAGATTGGCAACTGACAGGCGCGAACAGAAGTGTTGAAAAACATCAGAAAACACATGAAAACAACAACATTTTCAGAAACGCAGGAGGTCCTCTTCATAAAATCGACTATTAAAACTATTTAAA